ATTTCATTGGAAAAAGAAGATTGTATAAATCATGTAAAAAAGAGGATGGGTTCAGCTCTGCGAATACTTGTAGCAAAAAGTAAGAAAAATTAACCTAATCAGCCAAATATTACACAAAACTAACCTTCATCCCATGCATCAAGTATGTAAAAGACAGGTGCTTAAAAACCGTGAATATTTTGAAAATGTTGTCACAAACTACATGGGGCAGTGACAGGAAATGTCTGATAAATTTATATAAAAGCCTCCAATGCACGCCTCTAGATTACAGTGCTATAATCTGTCAGTCTGTGATACCATCAGCCTTAAAGATTCTCGACCCTGCCTGCGATAACTTATGCCAGTAATGCACAACCGCACACGTCGGCAGCCAAGAACCAAAAGCCATGTTTATTTGCACTCGCCCCAAACTCTGCGCCTACGAAATGTTGTAGGCCCATGTACTCAGATTTGGGTGCACGTTGAAGAACCCCAGGTGGTCAAAATTTCCGGAGCCCTCCACTACGGCGTCTCTTATAATCAAATGGTGGTTTTGGGACGTTAAACCCCACAAATCAATCAATCAATCAATCAATCAAACTCTGCGCCTACGTGCGCCATCTGTCTCCAATTCACACCTGAACAGTCTCTCTGTAGGGGTCGCTACATTCCCCTTTCTCAACAAGCCTGAAAGTTCAGTCTTTCAGGCTTTCTCACGACTCGGCCTGGTGTCCTGGTTTCTCCACACCTCACGTAAAGTTGTGCCCGATGTTTCTTGCTCCAAGCCTTCAGAGGGTGACTGGGTACCGTCGCTTGACTCATCCTGAAATGTCCGGTCTACGGGTTCTGGCAGTAAATCTGCAGAGTAGGACGGGGCACTGCCACTTGAAGTCGAATCGAAGGGCACCAGGTCTTTCCTGTTCTGTTAGATAACCCCAGTTGATGTTTCCACAATATATGAACACGGCCTCTGCGCTAGGCTTAGTACCCTAGCGACACAAGGAATGTCTTGCACCCATACATCCTCTCCTGGCATCAATAATCGCAACTCCCGAACCGCATGATGTCTGTTGAAGTTGCGCGCTTGCTTTTCTCTGGCTTCCTTATCCTTTGTTTCGCTTTGGAAATAGAAGGCCATTTTGGAGTGAGAGCCTTGTCAATTTTGGGAATCGGTCTTCAGACGTCTGCCCATCAAGAGTTGAGCCGGGCTGTAGCCTGTTACTGCAGGAGTGTCTCGATATGCCATAAGAGCCAGGTAGATGTCTTTTGATTTCAGAAAGATATCTTTCAGCGTACGTACCATCCGCTCAACTTCTCCATTTGCTTGTGGGTATCGCGAACTTGAGGTAACGTGTGAGAAACCGTAAGCTTTGCTGAAATCTCTGAAAGCTTCCGATTCAAATTGCGGTCCATTGTCAAAGACGACCCCTGACGGGACTCCGAAACTAGCAAAGCAGCTCTTAATGTCTGGTATTACCGCTTGAGATGATGTTTGAGCCAGTCTGATCACCTCAGGGTAACGAGAGAAGTAATCCGCAAGGATAACATATTGTTTACCTTGGAGTTCAGATCCACGACTACTTGTTCCCAGGGACCCTGTGACGTTGAAGTAGACATGAGGGGTTCACTGTGTTGAACTCTCGTTGAAGCACAGTCTTTGTAGCCCCTAACCATCTTTTCTGTTTGGCTATTTATAGTAGGCCATCAGACTGATTTGTGCGCATGGGCTTTGTATCTTCCAATGCCTTGATGGCCCTCTTGAATTTTGCAGAGCACGGCTCTTTGAGGCAACTATGGTACCACAATTTTACTGTCTTTTAGCAGGAGTCCTCGTACAACAGTCTGCCCCGCACCTTCCAGTCTGCGCGCAGTAGTTGTGGAACCTTCGATGGATAGTTCGGCAAACCGTCTTTACACAATCTGCCAAAACCTACGCAGACTGCATCTTCTTCTTGGTGTTTGAGAAGTGTATCAAGTAATCGCTGTTGATTCGGTGACCTCCATGACTGTGATCTCTCCGTCAAATGCTCACGAGTCTTGGTTTTTCTTGGGAGGATGAGCTGGAGTATGTGACAGGGTATCTGCAGTGGCAAAGTGCTTTCCTGGCACGTAGAAAACATTGTATTGGTAACGCATAAGCCTCGTACGAAACCTTTGAATGCGTGGGGGCATCATGTCGAGCTCTGCTTTACCCAGCAACGTAATTAGTGGCCTATGATCAGTCTTTATGTCGAAGACTATACCCCTGACGAACTGGTCAAATCTTTCCACAGCCCATGTTACTGCGAAAGCTTCTTTCTCAGTCTGGCTGTACCTTGTCTCAGCAGGTGACAGAGACCTGGAAATGTAGGCGACAGCACGTCTTTCGCCCGTGGGTTGACCTTGCAGCAGCACTGCACTTAGACCATATGAGCTGGCATCGGCTGATACCGTGGTGTGAAACATTGGGTCGTACCTTGCCATAGCAGTAACCTTCGTAAGTGCATCTCTCACATTCTGAAAAGCCTTCTGCTGGTCTGGACCCCAATACCATGTGCTGGTCTTCGTGAGGAGCTGACGTATTGGTGCTGTAGTCTCGGAAAGATTTGGTAGGAAGCATCCCACGTGATTCACCATTCCGAGGAGCCTTCTCACCCCACTGACGTCTGAGGGTGCCTGTAGATTTGTAAGAGCACTGATCTTGTCCGGGTCTGGCGAGATTCTATCGCTGTCTACTACTACACCCATAAACCGCACACGTCAGCAGCCAACAACCAAAAGCCACGTCCATTCGCACTCGCCCCAAACTCTGGCGCCTACGTGCGCCATCTGTTGATGCCTACCGACCGAAGACTCCAATTCACACCTGAACAGTCTCTCAGTAGGGGTTGCTACACTGTCCACCATCTAGGCATTCGCCTCTCTACGGGTGCTTTTCGAACTAGCCCCGTAGAGTCTGTACGTAGAATCAATTGAATGGTCGCTCCTTCTGCGGAGGTGTTACCTGTCTTTTACATACTATCTCAAGGTTAACGCTGATGAGGAACATCCCGCTCACTCCACAATCAATCATCTGTCCAATTGTACCTTGTTTAAATACCGTCCTTTGCTGAGACAGCGTTTACTCACTTCATGTCAGGAGGCTCGTCGAGAAAACAGCTGTGCCATTTTCAGAACGTTTGATGGCTCCAGTAGTATATTTGCCAACATCGAAGTGGCAAGTTATAGACTGCGATCTATTTTTTGTGGAAGTCACTAAAGACGCACCTACTGCACATATCCACACGCACTTCCTCTAACTCCAACACAAGTACATTTGCCCAGAATTTTTCACAGATGCTTCAAAATCTCACACTGGTGTGTCTTATGCAGCTGTTGGACCATCTTTCTCCTACTCGGGTATTCTGCACTTTGAAACAAGCATCTTCACAGCAAAGGCTCAGGTGGTATCTGTGGCTGTCAAGCATATTCAGGAACTGCAACTACAACGCGCAGTAATATACACAGATTCGCTGAATGTTGTAACGGCTCTGAAAACTCTGCGAAAACATGAAAATTCTGTCCTTGTGTCTTTGTACTTTCTGTTATGCACAATCTATGCTATTAAATGACATGTTGTAGTCTGCTGGGTGCCAGGGCACCATGAAATCGCTGGAAACGTGTTGGCAGATCAGCTAGCCACATCTGCTCAAGACAACGCTGCCACCAGTACATCTGTAGCTGTCCCTGCACTTGATCTGAAACATTTTCTACAACGAGATCTCAGGGCGTGCTGGCAGCGCCTATGGGATAGGCAAACAGAAAGCAAACTACCTGTTATCGAACAGAGAATTGGAAATTGGCCAACAGCATCCAGATCACGCTACACACAAGTCACACTCACAAGACTACAGATAGGACACACACGCTGGACACATTCATACCTTTTGTCTGGTGCGGCGTTCCACTGTGTGAGAGATGCGAGAAACCGCTCACGGTTCTCCACATCCTCATCCAGGGCAGTGATTTAGATTCTCTTAGACAAAAAAGCACTTTTTGTTGCCCTAATAACAACAGATACCTTTGCACCCATCAATGTTCATCGGCTAGAGAAGCCCTTTTTCCACATCACTGCTGGCATTTTTAACAGGTGTTCGTACTTTTTAACGTCATATACCCAGGCGCTCCATAGCACGATCTTTGAAGAGAAATCGCTGCTGCGGTGGCTGCATCTCCGTCATTGTCTTACTATCACGACGTTTCGCCATTTACTATTATTGCACACATTTTACAGTCAATGTCATGGTTTTAATGCTTCTGTGTTTTTACCCACGTTGGCGTGAGGAATTTTAAGGCTCTTTTACAGCCTCCTACACAACGACGTGTCTCGCATGCGCTGTATCAAGGCAGCAAAACAAGAAAACTCCCCTCATCCAACTTCTTTGAATGAAAATCCGACATGTCTTCGCGAAATTTTGACTATCATCATTAGAATAGGAGCAGTGCATTCGAAATAAAGAAAAGGTCATTGGGTGGGCTTTGCCATGAGGACGGCAGCTCGTCCTTTTCTCGACAACCGTCTAGATGGCGCTAGTTGTGCACCACTTTTCTCAATGAAAAATGGCATGTTTTTCAAAATTCTCGAAACGAAGCCGACCCTGCAGTTTGATACGAAAAATTGAAAAAAAAAAAACTATTGGCCTAAATTCGGATAAATATGGTACCGTTCAGCATGCCCGCTGAAACAAAAGGAGAGAACGCGCTCGCGGCATTCAACAGATCTCTCTAACTTGGCTGACACGTAATGGATTCTGAAAATTCGTGAGACAATAAATTGTAATAGTGAGCTCATTCTACTTGGAAAAATGTTAGAGGGCCCCTTGGAACATTGTTTGTCCAGAGATTATTCATGTCCTCTTTCTGTTTTGTCGGTCTTTCGATCAGGACAGGCACAGGACCTTTTCAGTCAAGGGTGTTTTGTTTGATCTCATCCAAAAGTGCGTGCACGTTAAATTCTGTACCTATCAGTTATAAACCCACTGTTGCTGTTTCATCTGTTGCAGGGTCCGAGTGCAGGCTGTAAATGCAATCGGGGCAGGCCCCCTCAGCAACCCCGCATTGCGCACAAGCACGCAGGCGCTGCCACCTCCCGCACCAACCCTTGAGTGCCTCTCAGCTGGACACAACAGCCTGCGGCTCCGCTGGGCCGACCATCCAACAGCGCGGGACGTGCTCCAGTACACCCTCGACATGGAGGTCAAGCCTGGCATGTGAGTACTAGTTCATCGTGCCAGGTGTATTTTGCTTCACCATAGTTCAGAACTGGGCAAGTGGAATTGATATAAGCCATACAGTGTGTGCAGGGTTGGTTCAGGTTTAGCAGTACTCCCCATGCCATTTTTGTAGCCAGGAGAGTTAGCTTCAATCCAGCTATTTCGCTTGAAAGGTTTAATAAGCACATAGCCAAAGAACAGATAAAGAATTGTCTCAGTCTTTGTTGCATCCTTAAACTCTGTCCAACTCCAAAAGTACTCCAAGTATGGAAGTGGAGTAAAATATTTCACAATAAGCATGCTCGAAAAGAAAATACTCATACATTTGATCAGTTTTAATATAAGCAAAACACTCTAAAAGATTATGGATAGCAGAAACGTTTTGCTGCTGCTTGTCTTCGTTGACACCGGAGACTAGAAGAACCTGTTGGCAGTAGACGTTTGACAGCAAGAATCGGTTGCCAAAGGAGGGGATATGCTAAAGCTAAACTGCCTGTTTTATACGATAATGAAAACAAACAAAACTGCAGTTCTCAGAGTGCTGTGCTACTTCCTTTTGCAGCTTCGCAATGCTTTACCAGGGACCCAGCCGCTCGTACAAAGCTCTGCGGCTGCAGGAGAACCAGACTTATCGATTCCGTGTTCGTGCTTCGAGTGATGCTGGAGATGGGCCCTACTCTGAACCATACTCGTTCACCACCAGTCGTGCTGCGCCACCTGCTGTCAAAGGTGTGTGGCGACTTCATCAGCAACAATTACTAGTGAAAACACAGATGGGTTACTCCAACCAATTTTCGAAGCCGAGTTTAATACATAGCATATTTTACTGGTTATCACTAGCATGCTACCAAGAGTGAAAACCTGCTACTATTCAAAGTTGTTTCCACTTCCTTTGAACCGAAAAAATGGCATTTGCACAAGCCTTGTTTCAATTTTTAAAACATAGTGTGCACGTTCATTAGGTCATGACACATTTGTGCCCATTTTTCTTAATCATATGTGACATATACTATTGAATTCAATTCAAAATTATTCGACCAAAATCACTATTTGCTTTGAACTTAAGATTGACTATCCGCACAAGCCTAAACAAAACCAATTAGTTAGTGTTAGCTAAAATTACCTTGTTCACTCGTACCTTACAGCACCACGTGCCAGTCCATTGGGCGAGAGCAGCTGCTTGCTGGAGTGGCAGCCAGTGAAGCCCGTGGGTGACGACCCCATCAGCTATGTGGTGCAGTTGCAGCACTCGGGCAGCTCTGAATTCTCTGTGGCAAGTGCTCCCTTCCTAGCCATGCATGTGTGGCATTAGTGTTTTGACACCGCAGTGGTAGCAAGTTCGCTCAACTCATCAGTTTTAGGTGCTTTACCTACCATGTAGAAGTGTGTGTGTTGTAGATCTCTGGTGCAGAAACCCTCTTCCAGCGTATAAAGCGTATTTTGCTTCTATCCCTTTTTCTTGTGTACCATTGCAAAACATAAAATAAAAATACTACTTACATTTTTAGGTGACTGACGATTGGACCATTTCAAATGAAGCTGGCAAAAGCTGGCTTGTTGGGCTAATGTTTACTTCTGTATGAAAATCTAGTTGAACTTAGTCTACATGATATTGCAGGCATGAGATAAGTCAGCTTGATTGTTTTGCAAGACTCATGTAAATGTGGAAAGGCATTCAGCTGCTTTTACGTGGCAACAAAATGCTCTCGAATGTATTTAAACCCTTTGCGGTCTCTATCCTTTCCCTAAATTTCATTCATTCATTCTAGTCCAAAACCAAGTCTCAAAGCTCATCTAAAGTACATTTACTTACTCTTTTAGAGATGGTGCATAATGTAGTGAGAAAATGTGTGCGTGTACCAACCGCAGAACTTGTCCAGTGGACCACAAACTGCGTTGTCATCAGGCAGGGCCCAGCTATGGAACGCAAAGGTTTAACGGTATAATTGGCAAAGCTGGTTGCTTGGGTCTCGTGTCTGCAAAGCACGAGCTTATGTCAGTGCTGCATGGGCTTTGTCAGCCTGACTTTATACTTGATCTGCTCATGTCTAGTTCACATCAAGGGGAGCTATGTGGAGTCGTTGGAGTCGTTGGTAGGGATGCTGCAATGTACCAACTTGTACCTTGCCCCCACAGGTGTATCGTGGCCGGGACACTAGCTGCACACTGAGCAACCTTGTACCGCGGGGTGCCTTCCATTGGGCACGGGTGGCAGCCGTGCGTCACTGCCCACTGAGCCCTGAGCCCCTGTGTGGACCATACGGGCCAGCCACATCCTTCCAGCTCAGTAGCCCTTCTGCAACCACCACTGAACCGGCCAGCGAGTCTGCTACTGCTGCAGCCCGTTCCACGACTTGGACCCTCGGCGACCAGCAGTGGGCAGGGCTACTGGTTGGTGTCTTCACCTTGGTAGCTGTCCTGGTGGCTGTGCTGCTTCAAGAGCTGGTATCCTGGACGCAATGACCAGCACAGGTAGGCACTCTTGTTGTGTAATTGCTGCTTTCTTTATTAAGTGCATAGCAGTTTAAAGGCCCTGCTTGTCGGCCATCCACTATCTCATGTCACATGATCAGGCAGTTGTCAGCACAGGCCTAAAACAAAGCTAGCAATGCTCAAATCCAGTGCAAAATAAGTGAACAAGGTCTGAAATGTTATAAACTGCTGAAGTAGTTCAGAATTATTTGCAATAATTTACCTTCAATTGCCAATTCTTAAACATTGGCCGAGACCAGAAATGGCACCATCACCTTGGCAAGCACTTGATTGCCACGGGAATGACTGGTTTTCTCTGCGCCACACACATCCTCAGGTTTCACTGTAGTAGAATTGCATTAAGCACAGGATTTAGAAGTGCCAAGACTGACGCTGGAACGACATTAGCACAGTAATTGGATTTAGTACTGCACCGCACCCACCATGGAATTTAGTAGTAGTGATGCTAGACTGCTGACCGAAGGTCCCAGGATTGAATCCCTGCCGTGCTGGCCACATCTTCAAGGGAGGCAGAAATGATTGAGGCCTATGTACTTAAATTACTTAAGGGGAGACGCGGGTCGAAAAGTCGCGGTTTTCCGGAAAATTTTCGCTTTTTTTTTTTCCGGCTGTATTGGCATCCTTGGACTATAATCTATTACTTCTGAACATATCAAGCTGAAATTCGCATGAGAAATTATCAAAAAATGCTTCCAAGTGGGCAGCGGTGACGCGAGAAATGCGGGAAAGTCGCGAAAAGCGGCGAAGTTCGCGTCGTCCTGTCGCGAAAACGACGCGTTGGCCGCCATTTGCAATCGTGCAGGCATGCTGCGAATGCCGTATCCTTCATAATCCACTAGTAGCCAGTCTCGTGCCTTCCCGCAGAATAAACAAAAAACGAGAAAAACAACGCGTACGTCACGCGTTTTGAATATCGCGGCACACAGCGCGAGGCTGCCATTGGATGGCGGTGCGCTCCACGCTCCTCCCCCTCCTATCTCTCCGGCAAAAGAGCGAAGCCTCGGACGTCGCGATCGAGTTTTTCTGCGTTTCTGTGCATTTTTGCATCATGGCATGCCCGAAGAAGTGCAGTTCAGATAATCGAAAGTTCAGAACTCGCCACAAGTATTGAGGAAAACGGCGTCGGACGCTTCGCAAAGCGACAGCGAACGACGATGTCGCCCCCGACCAACGCCCCGACGCTCCGACTTCGGATAGGCCTAACACCGTCACCGAACCCTGCGACAGTGGTTGTGAAATAGCCGCTGCCGTGGAATTCGTCAGTGCATCCCAAAGGAAAATTGGATTCTTTGAGTGAGAGTGAACGTAGACCGGTAGATGCTGCTACTGCGAACATGCTGCTTTGCGAAATCGATGCGCTGACGGCACTTGTGGCGGGTGCGCAATGCCCAACCTGCCGCGAACGGAAGCTCGGCGTGCGAGAGGCAGCTGGAAAGCGCAAAGGACTTTCGGCATTCCTCGAACTGTGCTGTCAAAATTCTGATTGCCCTGAATCTGCACTTTCGTTCACGCACACGTCGAGATGTACTGCTTCGGCCGGGGACCAAGGAACGAGCGCTCATTTTGACAGCGGCAGCTCGTGTGACAGCTTTGCTGTAAACGTGAAGGCAGTTCTGGCAGCACGCGCTATAGGCGCAGGCCACGACCAACTTTCACGATTTTGTGCGATTCTCGGTCTTCCGAGCCCGATGCATCACAAGACATTCAACGGCATTTGCAAGAAGCTCCATGGTGCGGCGATGACGGCAGTGAGCAAAAACTTGCACCAGGCACGAAACATCACGAAGGACGCAGTCGGCGGCAGAGATGTGCCAGTCATGTTTGATGGCACCTGGCAGAAAAGAGGTCATAAAAGCCACAATGGAGTGGGCACAGTCGTGTCCCTGGACACGGGGCTCTGCCTCGATTTTGAAGTTCTTTCGAACTACTGCCATGCTTGCAGTATACACAGGGACCTTGGGGAGGATGAAGAGATATGGCGAGCTTTTCATCTTCCAGTTTGCCAAAAAAAACACTGACTGCTCATCCCATGCAATGGAACATGCGGCAGCTGTCAATATATGGCAGAGGACCTTGTCTTATGAAACTCCACTGCGATTCACCAGCTTCCTAAGTGATGGTGACAGCAAGGCCTACACTGCAGTCTGCGAGGCAAATGTATACTGTGACACCCCCATTGACAAAGAAGAGTGCACGAACCACGTTGCAAAGCGCTTGGGAACTGCCCTACGGAAATTGGCAACGCCACTGCCACGAGGCGAAAAACTGAAAGATGCGACAATAATAAAACTACAAACTTATTACAAGATCGCCATCACGAGCACAAGGACAGTGTCCGAAATATGTACACTGCCATATGGGCATCGTATTTTCATTGCTGCTCCAGTGATGGTGCCAGTAGCCACAACTTTTGCCCCGCGGGACCAAATTCGTGGTGCAAGCACAAGCGTGTGGAAGCACTGGGGGAGCCTGCACCACGCCACACCCCACTGTTGACGAAGGCTCAAGGATTGGCAATTATGCCTATCTACAAGCGCCTTACAGAGGAGAAACTCCTTATTCGGTGCCTTCATGGCAAGACACAGAATGCAGCCGAATCGCTGAACAGCAAGATATGGCTGCTATGTCCAAAAACAAAGTTCGCCTCCAGAACAACTGTGGAGACAGCCACCGCTCTTGCTGTACTCTGGTACAACAAAGGCCACAGGGGCTTTGAAGAAGTGCTCGAAGGCATTGGAATTCTCCCCTCACAAGATCTGGCCACACATGGTGACCACTGTGACGTCATGCGCATCAGGAAGATGAACCTGAAGCAAACTGCAGAAGCGAGGGCACACCGTCGCAACACAGCGAAGAGAGCTCGTGTTGAGGACACTGACCGCAAGAGCCGTGAAGGACCAAGCTATGGTGCAGGGGACTTCTAGACACTTTCAGTGCATTCAAAGCAAGGTACTTTTCATTGTGCCCCAATTTGATGCGAAAAGAATGATTTCCTAATAAATGCCAACTTTGCGAACTTTCAAACTTGTTTTTCTCATTTTCATTTTTTCTGACAGTTTCACGTTTTCCGGGCAGCCTTTTAGAAACTTATATTCATTGTATAGTAACGAAACTTGGCACACATATTCTTCAACACATGCAGAATGCAAATATCTACTCTAAATTGCAATGCCTACCAGCATTAGTTGTGAAAATATTAGCTTATTGTTTCAAGGAAGATTGAAAATAATAAGTCATTCAATGCAATTTTTTTTTCTTGGTTCCAATATTTCTGTGACATATCTATATAGATATTTGCACTTTTCAATCTACCAAGAGTCAAATAAGATCAGACACAGTGCTTTTACTGAAAGTTTAGTACATAAAAGAGTGCCCGCAAAAAATGTAACTTTTTGCTATTGTTTATGGCATAACTCAATAATTATAGCAGCTACACAAAAAATGATTGCATATTTGAAATCTGCATGAAAAACTATACTAATAACAAACTTTTCAAGTCTCTATTACTAGAAATAAAAAAAAAACTTTTTCGAGGAGCGTCTCCCCTTAAATTTAGCTTCCCATTAAAGAACTCTTGGTGGTCGCAATTTTCGTAGCCCTGCATAAACGGCATACGTCGTAATCGTATCGTGGTTTTGAGTGGTTGAGCCCCAACAATTTTATTTTTCGAAAATGGCATAATTTTTTACAAATTCCACTGGTGAGTGTACAAAGATGCTGCCCTCGAAGGTGCGCCAGTGACCTGCATATTTGTGTGTGCTGTTTCTTCCAGTTAATGATCTCTCTTTTGTGAGCTTGGTGGCGATCTCCTTATTGTTGTTGATGGCCATATCATTTCTGGTTCGGCTATATGATCGTTTATTGAGTTCACTTGTTGTTTGTAAATTATGCATTGTTGTATTACACAACATATTTGCCAAGAGGATTAGTGTTGTGCAAACGAGCCTGCGCGAAATGCTCTCAAAATTATTTTCCATCTTGTCATTTGTACAAGTGAGCTTTATGAAATGGTTGAGTATGACGTTTCACGAAAAAGAAAAAATCTTTGTCTCTCCATTCAGGGCGCAGCTGCTGCTCCGATTCATTTTCGCGGTGCACCGAACGAAAGCTTGCCTTTGATGCCAGCTGCAGAAGCAATCTGTAAACGTGGGCCAAACTGTGTGTGGAGCTTTTCGCCGATCGACCCCCGACTGGACTCCGTGCGTGAACTCATCGTAGGCACGGTGCCTTCTCTCCCCGTCTGTCTGCATGCCGTGGCCGCTCATCTCGCTGCCCGGGAAGTGTCATGCGTGCGTGTCTTTTAGGAGCTTTGTGCTCAGGGTCTAGAAAACATAGACAATGCACTTGTTTCCCTGCACTCTTGTTGTGAGGCAATCTCTGAAGCCTGCTTGTGGTCCAACGTGGCTCTTCTGTCGTGGGCACTATTTCTGTGAGAAAACAAACAAAAACGGGGTTTGGAGTGGGTGGGATGGGCTGTGGGGGGGCATCGTGCAATGTTGTCTGCCCTTCTTGGCACTCAATGTCATGACACCTCTCTCTCTCTGTGTTGGCTGCTTGGTATCGTGTGGGCCTTTTAAATGTGCGCGTCTGTATGTCAATGATGTCTCGCATGACCAAGGGCTCTATTAGTTCCAGGTGAGTGCTCCTGTGTGTGTGTGTATAAACGTGTGTGCATATGTACTCGCTGCAATGTGCACATTATAAGTATGGCTTTCTGACCCTGGTAGAACTTGGGATGTTCGACATGTTTGGGGTGTCACATGTCGACATGTTTGTCGACATGTTTGGGGTGTCAGTCTGACAGTGGTGTTCAGCCGGGCTTAACACCAGGGTTGACTTTGCAGTTGTGTGGGACACACATTTTACATTGGCAGCAGTGCTGACAAAGTTCACTTTTCCTGTTTATTACTTTTTTTTCTTCTTTTTCAAGTATTTCAGTGCATGTTCATTTCACCACCAATAGAATATTGATGGGTTCCTATGTGCACTGCGTCTTTTGTCTGGTCACACAACTGTGTCTCATGTCTTCCCATTTCTTGTATCGGACCAGATGTGCTCAGCCAGTGCCAGATCTCTCAAAAACTCATTTCCCCCAGCCCCTGCCTTCTCTCCTTCATTCTTAATTCTTCACAATACTCGAGCCTTTTGGATCACTTACTCATTTCTTTTCCTCTTTGGTTCCTCAGTTGGCACCTTACAATACTGAGCCAACCGGACTTGTACGCCTTTACATTTTTCCTTCCTCTTTTTTTTTTTTGCAAAGTACGGGGTTCAATATTTGGACCTTCTGTGTAGATCGTCGTAATGTCACAGTTCCTGGAACAAATCACTGAAGATGTCTTCTGGCATTTGACAAAGCCTATGTGTTATATTGTCGCTGATGCTTTTTTGGTGGGTACAGTTGTTCAAAACTCATTATGGAAACCTACCGTGTCACTGCACAGTCCTTTCGCCGCATTATTCTCCCATGAATGAATGTCTAGTGTTTGCAACAGTCCCGGTGCTGCAATTGGGTTTTGACTCCAAACAGTGCATTACTTTTTTTTTTTCAAAGCTGGATGTATCTGTATATGTATGTATGTGCACGCTGATATTGTAAGCCTTATTTTTTCAGATGTATAAAACTTCCTTCTGGGGTGTACTTACTCACTTTTGTTGTTGTTTTTTTTTGTTTTAGAGCTGTTGCCTTTTTTTCTACAAATCCACTCGCATATTTCCAGCACAAGCCTTCGACGTACTAGTTTTGTTATCTATAGGCTTTTGCCAGCTGACAGCTACCTTTCTTGCACTCCAATTTTGGGCTGCAATTTTTTTAACTTTCGGATTTTACGATTCTTTGGCAATATTTACGCATATGACTTCTGCCTTTGTGCAACCTTTGTGCAAATTATTTACCTTGTTAAACTTCCAAGAAAAAGATTATGTTGCTTTTTGCTTTGCTTGAGTTTTCTCAATTCATCGTGATTGTACTTTGTGTGGCAGTTTTTATTTTATTGTGGCAAAAAGAATGGGCTTACTGACAAAGGTTTTTGAGACCCTAATTTGCTCATAGCCGTTTGCATGGCCTCCCTTTGCTTTTTAGATTGATGGGTCGCATGGCACTGACTCTGAGCCAAGGATGGCCTCAGCCACATTAATTACACGGTTGCATCCAAGCACTGCACACTGGCGCACGTGAATTGTGTAAAAAAGCTTTTGGTGAACCTACCACTATGCCCGAAAGTGTCTCTCCACTCTTGCATGTCTGTAGAAACGTGTGGCCTCTTTTTTTTTGTTTAATGCCCTCCCGACGGGCAAGTGTCCAGTTCATTTGGGTTTGCCGTTGACAAAACTGTGCACTTAGCATTGCAAGATAGACTGCCCATGATCGTTGCAGACATGGTTGCAGTAAAAAAAATGCAGCGTTGCAATCCCGCTGCAGTAACCAAAAAACAAAAGGTGCTGAATGATGAACCTGTCTGGTTTTATGTGTTACCCATAACGACAGAGTGTGGTTGAAGTGTGGTGTGCTAGAGGAAGGCGAGAGGGTGTTACTTTTGTTTGCTTTTTCGCCATTATTCTAGGTGCAATGATGTTGGCTTTATTTTTGTTTCTCTAGCTAGATTGGCCACTCTAGGAGCGAAAAAGCAGGACTTTACGGTACTCCTTGGAGAAGAAAGCATTTAGTCGTCGTTGCAGGCCCCCTTGTCATGCCGGATGTATGTTCTTTCTTTAGTTGCTCCAAACTTGAAATCAAGATTGAAGCACCCTCCCTCCGGCATAGCTGCATTGCATCGTTTGTGAAGTTTGTGCATATGTGAATGTGCAGGCATGAGTTATGAAAGTGAGCATTTGAGCATGAGGTATTTTTGACATGCATATGACCAGTCCACATTGTTTTATCCGTGCGCTGAAGTTTTTACATATCTATGGGTTTATTAACAGAAAAAATTTTATTTTCTTAAATATACAGTAGTATTACTTGTCTATAATATATATATATATTATACATATTGAGATATATATATATCTACAAAATGCGTCGTATATATAATATACATAAGCTCCGGATGTTTTACACGCATTTCTTGTTACTCGTGTGTTCTGTTACTGACGAGTTTTCTTGGAAAAACAGCGAAGTGTCAAGGTACAGTGTGCATTCTTCCATCAGATAGTGTTTGCTGTGACTGTTCCTTCCTGTACACATTGTTTTGCTCACTACAACTAATTTTCTTTTTTTTTGCTCTTGTATGATACCTGTATATTGCTAAATGAATAAACGTATTCGCAACACATCCTTGCTCGTCCCAATTTTTTTTACCTAAAAACAAATGTTAACCTTTGCAGCAGTTTGCAAGTTATGAAGGTTCTTTCTGTGCTGAAAAAATGGATTTCTGTACTGTGCAGAAAATTTTAATTAGTGACAAAGCATGTTATATAACAAACGTCCAGTAGTCATTGCACTCTTGTGACACCGAAAATATTTTTTACATTTGAAATTGCCACAGAAAATAGTTGGATAAAGATATGTTTGGCACAATAATTAATGCTACATATTTGTCTTCAAGTTAATGTAATCACTTTGATACAATATGTTCATAGAAAATAATGGTTAGCCCTAGTACTAGCTTGGTAATAAATGCAAATTTGCAATTAAGATCATGCAAATATTACACCAGCAGTGTCTTTTTGCTTGGAAGGAAACTCTCCACAGGGAAGCAAGATGTAAAATATTCCGAAACTTCATATTCTTTTACTTCAGTAGAATAGTGTTCGTACATTTTTAAAGAAAAACCTAATGATCCACAATCAATAAAATGCTTCATAGTTCCGCTTGAAGATCTCTAATGTCGGCACCAGAAAATAGCATGAAACTGGAACATATCAACAGGTGCATGCACTTTGGTTAAGTATATGCAGTGTTTGTTGACAATTTAAATACAAACTATTTTGGGTGAAAGCAAAAATGAGAGTACCTACTCGAGTTACAAACGTGTTCTTTCATGTTGCTTTTGCCAGCAGTCGCAATGGCTGCTTGATAGAAGGCCTTCTGCTTTCGCGTAATAGGCCGTGCAGGATTGTGCTTGATTTGTTCATGATTGTACCACATCGCCATATTTCCATGCGTGTCAGGCTTATTTTTTTCCCCCAAATGAGTGAAAAAAATTTTGCCACAATGGCACACCATTAAGTATGTCCCCTGGTGGTTTGCAGTTATGACTAAATCTCTATCGATAACAGCATAGTGTGTTCAGTTGACCTCCTCCTGTATGAATGTCTGGAGCTCAAAGGACTGCACGGGAGATTTAAATCTGCAGTAGGTACATTCATTCCCTTGACAAATGATGTGCCTGCCTGGTCAGTATTGGCTGTGTGATTTTGTGCCATAACAGCCACATATGCATTGATTTCACTGCAGCATATCGTGTAGCACTGCAGGTATGCTCCAACAACTCCCTATTGTTAAAATACTATTACCTTCGAAATACTGTTGAGAAAATGCTCCGCTGAATGACACATATGGTTGGCTCGGTTAGGAATTTACTTTATAGAATGTAAAGCATGGTGAAAGTGATGTGTCAGCAGTATGATTTTTCTTTCTTCTTTTTTTTTTATTTGCTGAGTAGGTTGTGTGTGATTGTTTTTTTTTTTTTGTGCATGAGAAAAGCCACTACCGCAAAAAGATGCAAATTGTATATTTCAACATATTGAGTGGACTTCCATATGGCACTAAATATTTGATTAATTTTAAATGAATTTAAGGGTATGTATATTACAGATGCAGTATAACACATCTTTCTTGTACATACCTGCAGATGCAGTATAAAGAAGTGCAGCCCTCCCACACAAATTCTGGAAAACCAACATTTTCGTCAACCAAATATTCAATGAGTATATCCACTTCTGTAATATGTCTGCTGAAACAAGGCAGAACATTATTTTTCTACATAAAAGTGTGGGAAGGTGCACCTGAAATTTTTATGTAAGATTCAAGTGACTTTTTCTGTGGTATCTGTAGTTGAGCTAGTATACAATGTTCATGCTCACTCATCATTATGTAGTGCTGTATGATTCCTGAACGTAATTAATGAGTTATTCAATTTAAACGTAAATAATAATTGAATAAATAAAAGCATGGCTATTTGGGAAGCACTAAACGTTGTCGTTCAGGTAAAATCTACGGGCATATTGCTAGTAAACCTATAAGTTATGTTTATGCAATCTAGTGATTAGCATGAAATTTAACGTATTGAAGTCGCACGTAGTGCGTGAAAGGTGATTACTAGCGGAGTGAGGAGTAGCAGGTCTCGCTATCAGGGACGTTGTCAGGCAATACATATCCTACAAGGTGGTACGCCGCGTCGCAACAGAGCAATTTAAAATGTTGCGGTGATACGGGTGGTAGAGTGCATTAGATATTTCTAGTAGAGTGTGTAGAGTGTACTAGATATTTCTACTGCACTCTACATTGACTCAAGCGTTAGGGCACTGGCATGCACGACCATTGGCACGGCCTGATGGCCTGGCTGGCGCCGCTTCGAAACCGCGCCTACCGTGCCATGGTTAGCGCGAAAGCGAGACTCGACTGGCCACCTGCGCTGCCCTAATGAAAGCCCCGTGTGTGCAAAACAAAATAAGTAGAAGTGCATCGGTTGCGAGGTGGTGGCGGGGGGTGCATGCCTTTAGCGAACAGTCAGTCCCGGAGGATCCACCGCGAAAAAGTTGCTCGATGAATGGATCAGCAGCAGATGAAGAAGACAACTGCTGATCGGCCTCCCTAAGCTATCATAGGGAGCTCCGACCGGCGCGGCGGCGGCACCATGAAGGAAATGGTGGGCGGCTGCTGCGTCTGCTCCGACGAGCGCGGCTGGGCAGAGAATCCACTGGTGTACTGCGATGGCCAGGGCTGCACCGTGGCCGTCCACCAAGGTAGAAACCAAATTCCTACTGCGCGGGCATACCGTGTCCGGGCGGCCGCACGCACGGCGAGCGGAGGCCGTTTGCGCGCTACGTTCGTCTCACTATGGCGGCAATCGTTCCGCGGCCGTCGTACCGTCCAGTTGCCGCCATAAACACGGCACGAATGTGTCCACCGGGCTCCGATTGCGGAAGAGAAATGAAGAACTCTTCGGTCCACTTTCATTCCGCTAGTATATCCGCATGCCTACGGGCCGACCGTCGGTCGCGAGCAATGTGCGCGTTGTGGCGCACGCAGTGCACTCGGCGCGTCACGGCCTTTGAAAACGTTGGCCCGTACTCCTAGTGGAGTCATTTTCGGGTTCGCATATTGACGCCGTCATGTTTCACTGCCTCCGTTACCGCGTTCCGCTCGTACCTGTGTCCTGTTTCGGAGAAATGCCAATTTCCGCGCCGCGCACTGGAGTTCAACAGGCGCGGTGCGTGTCACTACAACGATGTGCCGTTTGGCCGACGAAGTGGCATTATAAATGCCACTCTTTCCTCTCACTTTGGCAGCAGTGAGCACATTTATTCGCACGATAATTGCTGATGACATCTGACGCGCCTGTCGCGAATCTCGGAAGCAGTTTCACGATGCGTAACAGCGGTTGCTTGTTATGGGACCGTACTGCCTGTTCATCTCTTTCCGTGACAGCGCGTTTTCGGCGCCCGATTCCTATACAAGGGCTAATAAAGAACGTGCAAAATCTGCGGGAAAGTGGTCTGGTGACTTTCGGTCGCTCTTTTCATAAACTAGCACGTGTGATATCAACGTGGAAATGTCTGGCCCTAGAAAAGTAATGGTAGACCTCATATACGGTTCCTGTTCTACCCCTTGCATACAGTGTATTGATATAGGAAGTGTCTTCCGTGTTGCAAATGTCTGCAGCCAAAATATAGTGTCTAGTATCTGTATCACTGGCCCACTTTCCGTCCCAAGTGTATTAAAAGCATAGAAGTTAGATGCATAGAAGCATACAACTGAAAATATCCCCGTGTACCGAGTGATAAGTGCTCGTTTAAGGACCGTGCAGTGCCACCAGTTTTCAGTTCTTACCGCCAAACTGTCCAAATGGTAAACCCCGTAAATTGTTCTTTTTTGGAAATCAAACCATCAAGTGGCACATAGTTCATTTGTTTCGGTCACATGAACCTTGTTTTTCTGCAGCCTGCTATGGAATTGTGCAAGTGCCCACTGGGCCTTGGTTCTGCCGGAAGTGCGAGTCTCAGGAAAGATGTGCTCGAGTTGTGAGTACCCTTTCTTCCATCGTGGATAAATCCACTATTTTACTTCTTCAGGCAGAGCGTAGTGCCATGTCTCTACCCCTTTCTATCTGTCGCTTAACACTTGTCTTTATGTGGGTCACACACATTTGAATGCACGCATCTTGCTGAGTGAATACAATATGCAAGTAGCCACGGCACCTAAGGTGCATCTGTTTTCGCACAGGTTGCGGTGATTGCCATGTTGATAATGTTGCACACTCAGTGTCGTTATTTCTGCTAGATTACCGCCATTATACCTGGAGTACAACACATACTGTATTGAGTAGAAACAGCAATACAACTCTCATATTGTAAACCATGTACATGTGCCTCTTGTCACGACGATACTACCTAGTGGTGACAAATGTTGAATAACGGTCTCAGTGGGTATAAAATATATTCTGCACAACCTTCATTCACTACTGGTGTACCACGAAGTGTTCAGCCTTTGGGATACTGCAAACTTCTGAGTATATGCAAACATAAAAAAGGAAAACAAAAACAAAAAAGTACAATCTGAGAATTTCTGGTGGCATACTTGAAATTCTTGTGCCATAAGAGTTGTAAAAAGGTGTTACTGTTTTTGACACCTCATATCTTATACAGCATTCTCTGTGATGTCCTCATTTTGTGTGGTGCCAGCTACCAATAGAAAACATGTTGTCAAGCCACAAAGTTATATTAGACATAAAGACATATGCCAAGAACACAGTAAGCGAGGAAATATGTTATGTAAGAGGTGGCTGTATGTAACAGTATTGGTGCTGCCAACTTGTGATGCTGTTATCCAGCTGTACTAAACTAGGGCAGTTACTGTATTGATTAACACCCTGAAGAAAAAAGAACCATCCTAATTATGCTGCTGGCAACACATTTCAGCCAGTGGACAGCACGGAGTCAGTCACTGTACCAGAGTTTTACTCTTTCGGGTAGAATGTCATGAAATGTCATCACCAACATTGTTTTTGTAGTCTATACAACGTATGTCCGTGCAGTTCTAAACCTCTGCCTGCTATATGGGCATGTAGAATAGCTTGCCATTCAGCACATGATCACTGCTCATGTTGGATCCACCTATATTATTCCTCCCATAGGAATGTACCAATCAACCCTAGGCCCTCATTTGCCAGTGGCTGCAAAGCAACTGTCCAAGACGGTGGTCAAACCTCTGACGCAGCGGAGGGTGCTAAGAATCTCTGGGTGCGGACAGGCCGCCATAGGAATCTGAACTTGGTTACGTTTAACACTAGAGCACTATCTAGTGAGGCTAGTCTAGCTGTGCTATTCCAGAAATTAGAGGATGTTAAATAGGATGTAATAGGGCTCAGCGAAGTTAAGAGGACACATGAAGCTTATACAGTGCTTAGGAACGGACACATCCTATGTTACTGTGGATTAGTTGACAGAAGAGAACTAGAGTGTGGTTTCACATACACAAGAATTGGCTGGCTGTCAGCGCTACGTTGCGGTCACCTCCAGATCGCGCCACAGCTGACCACTTCTCCATAGAAAAGGGTGAACGTCTGGCTCAGCTGCTCCGCAAACATTACATTTGCTATGCGCACACATTGAGTCATTCCTTGTCGCCTGAATTGCCATCGTTGTCGTTTGAAGTGTCGACTGGGGTTGAATACGTAAACATAAAAAGGAAAACAAAAACAAAAAAGTGCAATCTGAGAATTTCTGGTAGCATACTTGAAATTGTTGTGCCATAAGAGTTGTAAGAAGGTGCTACTGTTTTTGACACCTCATATTTTATACAGCTCATATTTATCCTGGAAGAAATCTACAGGGGATCAACTGCTACTATAGTGCTTCATAAAGAAAGCAACAGAATACCAATCAAGAAGGGTGTAAGGCAGGGGGACACAATCTCCCCAATGCTATTTACCGCGTGCTTACAGGAGGTTTTCAGAAGCCTGGAATGGGAACAGTTAGGGATAAGAGTTAAGGGAGAGTACCTTGGTAACCTGCGCTTCGCCGATGACATTGCATTGCTGAGTAACTCAGGGGACGAATTGCAACTCATGATTACGGAGTTAGACTAGGAGAGCAGAAAGGTGGGTCTTAAAATGAATCTGCAGAAAACGAAAGTAATGTACAACAACCTCGGAAAAGAGCAGCGCTTCGAGATAGGTAATAGTGCACTTCAAGTTCTAAAGGACTATGTCTACTTAGGGCAGGCAATAACTGCGGAGCCGAACCACGAGATTGAAGTAACTAGAAGAATAAGAATGGGGTAGAGCACATTTGGCAAGCACTCTCAAATTATGACAGGTAGATTGCCACTATCCCTCAAGAGGAAGGTATATAACAGCTGTATCTTTCCAGTACTTAGCTACGGAACAGAAACCTGGAGACTTACATAGAGGGTTATGCTTAAATTGAGGACGACGCAGCGAGCAATGGAAAGAAAAATGGTAGGTGTAACCTTAAGAGACAAGAAGAGAGCAGAGTGGATTACGGAACAAACGGGGGTTAAGGATATCATAGCTAAAATCAAGAAGAAGAAATGGACATGGGCCGGGCATGTAGCTCGTAGACAGGATAACCGCTGGTCGTTAAGGGTAACAAACTGGATTCCAAGAGAAGGCAAGCGGGTTAGGGGGAGACAGAAGGTTAGGTGGGCAGATGAGATTAAGAAGTTTGCGGTTATAAATTGGCAGCAGCAAGCACAGGACCGGGTTAACTGGCGGAACATGGGAGATGCCTTTGTCCTGCAGTGGACGTAGTCAGGCTGATGATGATGATGATGATTTTATACAGCATTCTCTGTGATATCCTCATTTTGTGTGATGCCAGCTACCAATAGAAAACGTGTTGTTAAGCCACAAAGTTATATTAGACATAAATACATATGTCAAGAACACAGTAAGCGAGGAAATATGTTATGTAAGAGGTGGCTGTATGTAACAGTATCGGTGCTGCCAACTTGTGATGCTGTTATCCAGCTATACTAAACTGGGTCAGTTACTGTATTAACACCCTGAAGAAAAAAGAACCACCCTAATTATGCTGCTAGCAACACATTTCAGCCAGTGAACAGCACGCAGTCAGTCACTGTACCAGAGTTTTACACTTTCGGGTAGAATGTCATGAAATTTCATCACCAACATTGTTTTCGTAGTCTATGCAACGTATGTCCGTGCAGTTCTAAACCTCTGCCTGCTATATGGGCGTGTAGAATAGCTTGCCATTCAGCGCATGATCACTGCTCATGTTGGATCCACCTATATTATTCCTCCCATAGGAATGTACCAATTAACCCTAGGCCCTCATTTCCCAGTGGCTGCACAGCAACTGTCCAAGACGGCGGTCAGACCTCTGACACAGCGGAGGGTGCTAAGAATCTCTGGGTGCGGACAGGCCGCCATGGGAATCTGAACTTGGCTACGTTTAACACTAGAGCACTATCTAGTGAGGCTAGTCTAGCTGTGCTATTCGAGAAATTAGAGGATGTTAAATGGGATGTAGTAGGGCTCAGCGAAGTTAGGAGGACACATGAAGCTTATACAGTGCTTAGGAACGGACACATCCTATGTTACTGTGGATTAGTTGACAGAAGAGAACTAGGAGTGTGGTTTCACATACACAAGAATATTGCTGGCTGTCAAGCGCTACGTTGCGGTCACCTCCAGATCGCGCCACAGCTGACCACTTCTCCATAGAAAAGGGTGACGTCTGGCTCAGCTGCTCCGCAAACATTACATTTGCTATGCGCACACATTGAGTCATTCCTTGTCGCCTGAATTGCCATCGTTGTCGTTTGAAGTGTCGACTGGGGTTGAATACGACACTCTGAAGCTTGGAATCGCCACGATTCGCAACATTGCAAATAATTTTTGCTTTAATCGACCCTTTGCAGAACAGCGATTTCAAAATGAATGCCGTTCAAAGCAGCAATGAAGAGATGCTGGAGGACGCATGCTTCGGCCATGCTCGCTTGTATGTCTCAACTAGCTATGTTGGCGTGTTTTGCCGTGCACAGCATTCAGGCGTACTCAAAGGAGTCAATGGAATATCGGTATAGGGAATGCGTACTAGTGGAGAAATAGAATACATTCTCTGACTGCCAGGTTCATAGCGCCTCCAGATGGCCCCACCTATCTGGCCTCTCTGTTGCGGCGGCAGTAGTCTGGTATTAAAAGAAGTCTACAAAAGAACTAAAATTTGCTATTAACGATACCTGCGTGTGTCTTGTTAGCAATATCTGTCTACACACTGCTGCACTTTGATGCTTGTGGTCGTGTTAGTGCGTAACATATGTGTAGTGAAGAGAAACCCACATGGTGCCTTTTCCGTGCTTCAAGCCAGATGGCTGCAACTCACAACGGTTCCCCAACATGCTGACTGATGAGCACACATTGAATCATGCTCTTTTCTTTTGCCGTCCTTTCATAGGTGGTTTGCGTCTTGGTAATTTCATAAAATATTTTAAATTGGTGCATCAAAGATCAGACATAGCGAGTCACAGCCGGTCTGGAGGAGCACACTCATTTTCCTTTTTAGGGAGTGAGCGCACGGCCGTGGACAAATGAGTGCGTTTCCAGGTTTTTGCGCCAGGCGACGCCGCGATGAGAAACTCGGATCGTAGACTTCATGGCTACTAGCGCATCGTCACTCAGGATGGTATGTGTGACATGTGTCACACCGAACACAGAGCACTCGCGTCGATGTTGCAGGGCACTCCATTTTCCCTTAAGCTCTCGTGCACTGTTTGCCGTCGCATTGAGATAACTTCCGCGCGACGGACGCAATTCAAACTTGGGCCAGAGGTCCTATGCACACAGAGCAATCGAATGAAGGGCACATCTAGATTCTGAAATTTGATGTCAGTGCTCCTTTAAGTTTTCAAGGAGCCGTTTCTGAGTTTCCAGTTTTTGAGATGTATGATTAGCTTACATTGAAATGCAAACCTTGTCATGAGGTTGTGATGATAAATGCCGGAGCCAGAGAAATTAAGATTTTAATGTTTTTTGGAGGGTGAGCATACATCTATCAAAGCACAACAATTGCAGTACAATGACAGCAAGGAGAACACTTGTCAACCGTTAAAATCGAATCATTGAGGTAAGTACAGCTGCTCTATCACATGCATCATTGAATGTCATAGCATTACCGCTGGCGCTCAAGTAAGATTTTGAATATAGACTGCTATTCGCATTGCAAAGCCAGTTGGATGTGGATGAGCAGTAGTGTTCTAGAAGGTTCGAAACTTTGGATACATGAACCCACAGCTTGCTGTACGCAATACTGCGTGTTGAAGTTTCAGGTGATTAACCATTTGTAGTCCAAAGCCTTAACCACCTCTCCACTCAGGCACTAAATTAAAAAAAGAAAGCAAAGAGCTTAACTAAAAGAAGCTTACTTTTTTAGAAGGTGCATAATGCAGTGAGAAAACACACATGTGGATCAACCACGAAAAAGCTTGTCCAGCAGCTCCCGACCACGGACTGCTGCGACCGTGGTGCGTTATCGGGAGGGGCCCAACAACAGACTGCAAAGCGTTAATCAAGTGTTCACTGTGAAAAACTTGCTTATATGAATGAGACATTTTGTTTAAAGGACTATCACTCGTGTATCCATCACCTCCCTACTTTATTTTAGGCTCCTTCAACGTAATGTCGGCGTGCGTTTTCTCTTTGGTGTGTGTATTGGCAGATGTGAAACATGTGCAAATGTTAGGAACAGGTGCTTAACTTTTGGTGTGCCATCTGCAGCGGTGTGAGCTTTGTCCATCCAGGGATGGAGCACTCAAGAGAACTGACAACGGCGGTGAGCACTATTCTTCGTTCTTCAACCTTGTAGAGGCCTCCTAAAGCAATTATATTGCGCTATTCCACACAAAATAAAAGATAAGCAGTATCGGCTTAGTCAAAACACATCCTTTAAATTCTGCCACTGGGAATTTGTCTTACGCTAACTGGATCTGAACCTTTATGCCGCTTAGGGCTTACTTTGATAACTGATTAAGCATTGGTGCAAAATCACTTTGGAGTTATTACTTGTACGTTATGTTTCCACATATAGTTTTCCTGTTTGCGCATTTAGTTTGTGCACAATAGTTCGAAACTTCCAGTGTCATAAAGGTGAGGTGACAGTTCTATCATCGTTATTGCAAGCAAGTGATGACTATTATGCTATGTTGTGTGTAACTATGCTGGCGCATGTCTAGGTTGAATATGAGAAGTTATGCAGCTGGAACACTTCTCGCAAACCAAGTTAAATTTTTTGAACCGCATTTTTAAATGTCTTTTTTTTCTTCCTGTATGTTTAAAATTGAAGGCAGTAGACAGAGAAGCACCACATATGTTGCTAGTTTTGCCTGCACCCTAGGCTTTAAATCTCGCTTTTGAGCTCAGTTTGTGTGCATTTAGTTTGCATGAATGTGGGCATCAGTCTCCGTTAAAGTCTTTACTCCTGCATTTCATGGGAAAAGAACAAAAAAATTAAAAACCCGTTAGGAGCGCTTTTGCGTGCCGATAGACGCCTAGTTGATGTGGTTACTGTACAATCAAGTAGTTGCAGTTTTTCGCTGCATTAGCTGTTACTGGCACTTGCTAGATTTAGTAATGGTGTAGTCACAGTGGTCTCCTTAGAAGTGCAATGCTTGTTTCTAAGTCTTCATGCATGATGTTGCTCAGCTTTGTGAGGGCGGCTTTTAGTGAAATATTGTGTAAGTGTATCAACCGAGAAAAGTTTCCTGAACGGTGACATATTATTTTCTTTCGGGATTGAAAAAAAAGGACCTAGGCAGATCATGTAATGCATCGGGCAGATGATTGGTGATCGGTGAGAGGGATGGAATTAATATTAGGAGATGGGAAACATAGTCAACGATGGCAGAATGTAAGGGGGAGGGCAGAAATTTTTGTGTTCTTTAATTTGCCGTCGTAAAATTAAACAGGGTCATGCAGCACAGACCAGGCTGGAGATCATCAGCATAGGCGTGTGCAGGGAGGGGGTGGGAAAGCCAGCCTCTTACATTGACATAGTAGGGAGGGGGCACTGTAACGGGGGGGGGGGGGGGGGTTGTAAAGTAAACCCAGTACATTAACTTAAAAGGAGGGGGGGGGGGGGTAGGTGCAACAAACTCTTCTTCTCTCCCTCCTACCCCCGCCCCCGAAGGGGAATCCTGTGGACGCTTATGATCATCGGGTGAGGTCTTCGGCACGCTGTGAACCTAAAGTTGGCTGATAATGTTGATACTGGGGATGATGATGGCTTTTAGCTTGTAATATTTTAAATAGAGAATTATAAAGTTTTAATATGAAGCACAAAAATCATAATCATACAAAATGGCATATACTGTGAGGAAGAAATGTGTATCTGGTTATCAGTTGTTTTGGTTGTTACCCGAATGGGAAATTGTGATGATTTCTTTACCTTGTAAGTCCCCTGTGTTTTTTACATTTCTGAAAGAGAGATTTTAATACAAGTGACCAAACGTGAGTGCCAATCGCGACTGGCGCAAGGTGGCATGTAGAAACCACATTTTCTCATAATACCTTTGCATCCACGCTTTGCCCTTCAAGCTGAGCATGTTCGTAAGGCTTTTTGCTGCTTACTTTTTTTACTTCGTGCTTCTGTTTGGTAATCGGGCTGGCCTTTTGGAAGCCTTTACCCTGCTTGCACCAGACTGACTATGTCATTCTTTCCAGTTTTGAATGGGCTGCATCAAAATATTGTTGCATGCTGCAGCTTTTACACATACTGTGGGGTCTCAAAGTGAGGCACACTTTCAAAACGCATGGACAGAGTCGAGTGATCGGGCAAATCAAACACATGTGCATTTAATCACTTGCTTTTAGAACGATGATATCGCCAGCCTAATCAAATACTAGACATCCCAAGTGACATGCTAAACAGCCTTATTCAATATTCCAATGCTACATACAAGTAACCTAAGAACAAGGTATCGCAAATGTGGGGTAACTGACGGTTGAATCGCCTCATGGGATTCACGGGAAACGGCCCACAGTTGTAGTCTCCGGAGAATCGGCAGCAAACGCCAAAAAGCCTCGCAACGGTTTCCCGTGCGCCATCTACATACCGCGCGGCACTGCTGGCACTTACGCACCATCTCCACATCTCCAACCCGTGCGAGCACAGCACCCCCACCCACCCCCGCTCGGTGGCTGTTAAATCTAAATGTGTCCTATATTTGAGGTGTGGGTTGCGAGGTGCAAATTACTTTACGGGGGGGTAATAGCAACCCCACACTGCAAAATTCAGTACTGCCTGAAAAAGAAGAGTAAATAGCTTGTATGCTGACGGTGAACGTATGCTGCACCAAAATTCTCTTGATGTTTCGATATGCTTCAACTGTCTGACCTCCCAGCCTATCAGTCTACAAAGAAAGAAGAGGTGTGCATGCTCAGAAAGTTGAAAAAGACTGCACGTTTGTTATTTTTTTCACTCTTTGTAGGCTGGGCACATGTTGTCTGTGCACTGTACATCCCGGAAGTGCGCTTTGGCAACGTGACCACCATGGAGCCCATTGTGCTGCAGCTGGTTCCGCAGGACCGCTTCAGCAAGGTCAGTGTTCTCTCGCTTAATTAGACTCACTGGCAGTAGGCACTTCCATTGCCTTTTTCACGTGTCCTAGGCATTTTCCAAACAGCAGCTGGCAAATTTTTCAAGTGCACTTGATTTATTATTTTTTTTTATTTAAGTGCATAGTAGTTCACACTATTGTGAAGGCATGCATGCTAATAAGCAGAAAGCACTTATTTCCATACTGTATTTACTCAACTGCAACGCGATCACAATTCTTGCGTAAGGATGGACTTAGTTTCTTCCTGGAAAAAGAAAAGAAAAGATAGTAGTACTTTCATATTCGATAGTAATGCGAGGGTTGACTTTGGCAGCAAAAATCGTGGGAATTGTCTCTCGTTATACAGTAGACTCTCGGTAAATGGAACCTGGAGGGAGCAGGAAAATATGTTCTACTTAACAGTAGTTCCGTTTACAGAGAGATGAACATGGGTGCAGAATACACGCGCGGAACCAAACATAGCTGAGGCAATTGTTTCGTTCGAGCAGTAGTTCCATTTACCAGATTTCTATTTACTGAGAGTCTACTGTGTTTAACTAAATACAATATCTCTAGCACTAGGAATTGTGGTCAGATTTGTTTCAGAGACAAAAGCTGCGCTAGGGATGAGAACAACTGCATTCTGCTGAAGCACATGAGTGATGTGACTGTTACATTTAGCTGTGATATGCACTTGAAGCTAGTAAGTTCAGAGTGGGACAGCTCACCTAGCAAGAAGCAGTATATGAGCAACATTTTCGCTCATCAGTATCTGTGGTAGAAGTGACATTTGCATTTCTAGATTCCTTGCAGCGTTTCGGCAGCTGTAACTATGCCCTGCTCCAAGGAAATTGAAGCTGGAGTGAGCTTGAAAATCGGAACTCACAAAGGCATAAAATTTGAATCTGTAAGGCAACGTAGTTAGGAAAACTATTTCAAACCATGTGCCCTAGTGCAGTTGAGCAACCGTGGTACCAATTTTTCCTTTGGTAAGCTTGCATGAGACTCGGTAAATACTGTGAAGAACATTATAAAGTGCTGTCACTAGAGTTAACTCTGTTTGCGTTCTACGCATGTTTACATACAGAGGTGTAATGAAAGAGATTTGGTGATAGCCATGGTATACCATTGAGCTTGAGCAGTAGTGGTGTGGATCTCTTTGAGCAGGCTAGCGTATCTTTTTCATGTATTTGGTAAGGCATATTTTAAAATTCCAACTATATTACCAAGGCATCGCTTGTCCGGCCACACAGACTATTACAGAGCAGTTTACCTTCCACCCATCTTCACTCCTTTCTTCAAGCTGTCTACCAATCTGGAAATCCTGGAATAGGGAGGGAAATCGGGCGTGTGTGGGAAACTCGGGGAATCGTCATGGAATTTTTGCAAAACGTGTCTGGGTCATGGGGACAGACTAATTGCATTTCACTAAACAACTAAGCAGAAGTGTAAAAAAAAAATGCACACACACGGTGCACACTGTTTCTTCTACGGAGCACACAAATATCTCCTTCCCAAGCATGGCGTAACTCGCTCTACCAGATTTAGTCTTGTTTGGCTTGGCCATAACCTCTGCTTGACTTGAAAGCATTCTGGTTTTGCCACAAGCACTTATGAGCAGATGCTCACTGGGCCAGGCTCAGTTCTTCCAGTGGCAGTGCTATTGCGGACGTCCTCTGTGCTGCTCTCAATTTTTGCAAGGGCATATTTTTTTCTTTTAACTATTCGAGGGCTTGTTTCGTCTACACAGATTGTCAGTTTGTTCAAGCTGGCTCACCATTGAGGGAATATGCTTGTAATCATTATGGGAAATTCGGAAAAGTCAGGGATTAGGGGGAAAAAAAGATTGTTGTAGACATCCTGCTTTATTTCGACTGCTTGGGATTGGGAACTTGTATACCTTTAAATGCTGTGCACCGATCCGCATACATTCCAGGCTACTCTCAATCACTGTGCCACTAAAATTAAATGATGAAAAAGTGTGCGCTCTCTCCTTTTGCAGAGTTGCTTCATCTGTGAGCAGCACCACCAAGAGAGCAAGGCGTCCATTGGGGCATGCATGCAGTGCAATAAGTCTGGGTGCAAACAGTACTTCCACGTCACATGGTACGTGGACCAACACTATTTTCTCCAAAGCAAGCGAGACAAGTCTTGTAGATAAGGGCATAGTACATCGTATGGTTCGGGATGCCCTCAGGTGTACGAATTGTGCAAGCAAAAACATGCCTTTTTGTGCGCACATTGTTTTCAGCCATGGCTATTGACAAGACAGATTCTGCAAGATATGTTTTGCTGTCGGTGTTCGCTTTAAATGGCTTCCACCTTCCCAAATAGCTTGTAAGGCCCCTGCCAATAATTAACAGGTTCGACAGTTTTACCTAACCAATTTGTGAACAGTAGTTCATGAAATCGCACCGTGTAGTGTAGATTCTGGGCGGTGTGCAATCCGAGGGTTTCGTCATTTTGTAAATTAAACATGTTGCTGCCGTAAGTGTAGCTGTGCCTTCCAGCTGCACTTCTAGCTAACTTCAACATTTATCCCTGTCTCCTGAAGTTCAAATCAACAAGCTCTTCATGTTGCCGTTGAAATAACCCTTTTCCTCTGCTTACGACTGAATTTGGCTTTAAACTTATATATGATGCCGATGCGACAAGGACATCAAGTGCAGTTCTGGTAAAGAGCGTGTGCCTAACCTGTGAAAAGTTCATCACTGTTGAAAGTGTGAGTGTTTCAAGAGTAGATGTGACTCAAAAATGGCAAGTTTTTTTGAAAGTTGCATGTTTTTTTATTTTTAATTGCTTTCACAAGTCAAGTTTCTCTACTTTCGTGACAAAACAAGGTTGTAGTTAAACTCGATGTAATTTGCCATAAAAAAAGTGCTGATTGTCTAGAGTCCCCTAGAAATTGTCTTCTGTCTACTTGCCATTTCATTTCGCATGAGGAGTTCACCAAAGCTACATGCTCAAAATAACCATGATTTACAAGCTCTCATAATGGAAGAAATGAGTTTAAAAAGCATAATATATATATAAATATTATGAACTTAGAGTAAGCAATTTGTATGGGCTGAGCATTTAACACTTCTTGTATTACAATTTTTATTGTTTATTTAAATGTATTATGCACACTTTCTTGATAGTTATTTGCATTCTGCAGTAAATGTGGAGCAACATGAGTCATTAAGGACTCGTAATCATAAAAGTTTAGTGGCTGGAAAAGTCTGTCCAAAAGAAACTATGTTTTACACATTGTCATAGTACACACAAAACAATTGCATTTCCCTTTAAAAGTGCTTGCTCGGATTCGTGACTTTCAGTTGTCAAAAGTCAGGCATGGTGTTAGATAATTGCTGTAGTGATGAACACCAGGTTAACTTTAACAAAATGAACTACTCCAAGTGGTCTTTTAAATTTTGGCTGCCCGTGTCATTTTGTCTAATTCTTTATAGTCTTTCCTGGGGGCGGCCAAAGGGACGTGCCACACAATAGGCAATGGCTGCACATTGTTGGGCCTCTCTGGGAACGTGTTGTTTCTTTCTGGTCTAGTGCGCAGGCAGCGGGTCTCCTCTGTGAGGAAGCTGGGAACTACATGGACAATGTCAAGTACTGCGGGTACTGTCCCTACCACTACCAGAAAGTGGTTAGTACGGTATGTATCGGATGTAACAGAATCTGGGAAAACGAGTTGCCATCTCTTTTTAATTCTTTGCTGTCTCTCTCTTTTGAGTTTGAACAATTGTGTGCGATTGAAGCTGAACTAATGCCAGTGATGGCTCTGCAAACTTTTATTTTTCTTATTATCTTGACACTTTCCCTTTCCCATGCTAAAAAGAGCTGACATTACCTAAAGGAATTTAATGCCAGTGCAACCATAGCATGTATACTTTCCAAGACTACAGGTGTTTGCATTAAGGTGGTTTTTTGTTGACAAGGATGCCACTGACTTTCGAGTAAAATTCGCCAAACCACAAGCGAAAAGTCGCCATTTTTCTTCCAATTTCATCAAGAAAATCGTCACTCTACATATGTGGGATGTGGCAAGTAATAAATATTGCTAATTATGTATAGCCCCATGGAGAACAATATTGCCCATAGTCCCTAAATTATATTTACGTTCTTTTAATGCTAGTTGCATCACCCACTTCACGGTTGTAGATCTCGGAAAGGGCATGCAGGCACCATCAGCGTCTCTCAGTGCTAGCGCCTCGTAATAGAAGTTTGCGACGATTTTATTTGTGGCGAATGCAGGATGAAGCAGTCGCTACAACAAAAAAGGGATGGCATGCGTAGCCTTCTTGCGAATTTCGAGAATCTCATTGAGTCACTGTGTAATCGTGTATTTGATAATCGAACAAATTAATTGCATAACAAAGATAAGAAATTCAAAAGTAGCGCGCAACCACTGCAATGCACGCACCACCTCTTCTGTGTGGCATCAGTGCAGTTTCTGAAGGCTGTCCAAAGAAACCAACTTCTTGATCGGTCGAAAAAGAAATGTTAATAAAAAATTTAAACTCTACATGAAAATTGGGGGGTACTACAGCAGGGAAGAAGTTGACAAGCTATTTACAACGGTTGAAGCTGTGGCTAAAACAGGTGGCCTAACCATCACCTAGCCACTTCAGAAGCCAAACTTTAAAGAAGCCTAAAGCTCTTGAAGCTCTCAAGTACACACCACCACCTTGCGGCATGCGAAAAGTCCGCTGACCTAAAAAGTGCTTGGAGGTCGCTGGGGGATGCACCAATGTGCCAGTGCCTCCAGGATCTTGGTGAATTGAGGAGATACACACGAGGAATAGGATAGACGTACTGAATTGAGTGTAAAATGCACATTCTACTGGTGACTCTAAAACGACAAAAAATAGAAAAACGCTGTCGTCCGTTCGTTTTGAAGACGCTGAGAATAGAATGAATAATTCAGTCGAGACCTAAGCCGAAAATCCCAAAAAAAATCTCCGTGTCGCCAATCATAATTTTTGGTCGCCACAGGCCTCTCAAATTCGCCAATTTGGTGAAAAGTAGTCATCAGTGGCAACCCTGTCTTTGAGAACATTCTAAGGGGTCAAAATCACCTGTGTGTGCCAAATTTTTATTGCCCACAGCATCTAAAATAAATTTAATTACACTTTTTTGTATTTATGACCATGCTGTATAACTGTTTTCTTTTTTTATCCAAACCACTATATGTACCGCATAGGGTCTTTTCTGTTCAGCGTTCACATTTTTGAAGCTCTAGGTGTAGAAATTGAGTGTTACTGTTTTCAGAAAAGCACTGGGATGAAATTGGGGCTCTTGCTGTCTGTCACGCAGCAAACGATTTTCCTGAAAGTTTATGAAGTATTAACATACACACTCGCATTCTTTTTTGATGCAAACATATTCCAAAGATGCAAAATCACTCATGGCTAGCTGTAATGGCAAAGAGTCTGTTCGCAAGCCATGAAATGAACTCATTTTACAATAATTTGGTTATCGAGTACTTTTTAAAGTTTGAGCATAAGAATACAGTAAATTTGTTTGAGGATGCTTTCTTTCTTCTCTGAACTTTATTAAAAGGGGCCCTAAAACACTTTTCGATGTAACCATTTAATGGCTTCATAAAGAAGTTTACTGCGTCACAAATCAATCGCCGCTCAAATTTCTACACTCGATCAAGCACAAGCGGAGTTGCAGATATTTGTCATACGCTGCAATTGCTTTCATGCTTTTCTCGTGCCTACGAGCACTCCGAAACCTAGGGTTGGTGCGGGACAAAGAAGTTATGTCGCGTGCATGCCCTCGAGCACTTTTTTTTTCCCCTTCGAACGCATGGTTGACTTTCAGTGTGATAACAAGCGCGAATGTGGACACACGCCGGCCTTCCATGGCGGCCACAGTAACCATGCAGCTCACAATGCTCAAATCAGCCAATAGCCGGGAATTTGGGTACATATGTGGTGCGATCATATCAGTGTATGACATCATTTTCAGAAAGAAGGGGAACGATTTCTAGCCGACTTTGAGAGTTCATTGTAAATTACAGGCCATGTGCTGTGCTATAATGTTTGGCCGACAACTTCTCATGAGCCTCTACACTTGTTCGGCGATGTTTTCTTACCAGGCTGAAGAAGTGCTTCAGGGCCCCTTTAACAAAGACGCATATATAGTAGTATTCTTGGCCGTGTTTAACAAACAAACTGGGGCCTTTTCGTGTATGGCGGCAAGCCCTTGTTGACACTAATTATCTTATGAGCTTTGAGCATCTCGCTATCCTGCTTCTACCATTCAGGCTTTCTGTTCTTATCTCTTTCATTCTGGTTTCTTATGCCGCACACTTTTGCCAAATATCACAGTCTGCTTGCCTTCTTTAAACGTAACTCGGTTGAGTAAACTGTCGTCCAATGTTGCAGCTACCATACGCATTGCAGAGCTCTGTTCACTTCCTAATGCATTACCCTTTTTGCACGTGCGCAACGTGTGGAAACGTTGCGATGGACCATCATCATAATTTCTTCCTTTATCAGCGAGTGTGACCCATATGCATAGTGGTCTCTTGCCTTGTGCGTGTGTGTTCAGAAACGGGACAACAACATCAAGATCATCCCAGCCTTCAAGCCTATACCGGCTGAGTGCGATTCACGTGAGGATAGCCCCGAGCGCAAGCCCGCTCGAGCACGCATGAAGGGGGGCAGAAGTATGAGCGGGGAGCGGCGTGGATGCAGTCGGCCGCCGTGCAATGGCCAGGTGTCCTCAGACGGTGGTGCCAGCAGCGATGCCACAGAGCCACGAAATGGAGCCACGTCTGGGGGGTCGTCGCCCTCTCCAAGCACGGGCACGCCCAGTACTCCACTGCCAGTGAGTTTCACTTGTTGCTAGCTGGAGCTATATTGGTGCTCATTTCCAAGAAAACCACTGATCTTTACACACCAGGTGTTCCAGAACTCTTCTGTGTTCTTTCAGTGACAGAAAGTTGAAAGCTTTCAGAAAATGTTCTGCACGCAAACAAAGAAAAAAATATCTGTTATGCCTTCCTGTCCAACTTCTTTATATCATGGGCGCCTTCCGTGTTCCTTTGCCACATAAAACTGTGCAAGTGTTGTCAGTAGGCATGGTGGGACATGTCTGAACTTATGGCATATTTCTGTCCATTCTGTTAGATTATCAGATGCAGAGTGAACTGGATGCCTGTCCAGCGCAAACAGGTTGCTGGTGGGCACTCATCTTTTCCAGAAGCATCTGCATTGCCTGATGCCCTGCATGCACAGGCCCAATTAGTATTCTGTCTCCCTGGATATCAGTATTTTTCACATCGTACCGATGCCTTTGGAATGGTCAGATAAATGTTTTCCATTGTTTTGTGCAAATCAGATAGCAATGACAGTGCGAGGTGATGTTCACTACACCAATAGCAGACGGGTTCCCCTATGGATGAGTTCACAGTTGAGGCTGGGTACCGCCATACCCGATGCCCCTGGTGCACATGCCAGTCATTTCCCTTTGTTTCCACAATGAATTAACTGTAGCTATGAGCCAGTAGTACTATGGTTAGGATGTCAGAAAGTTGCGAACAAAAATTCAAAATTGATATGTCCTTTACATTTGATTGATTGATTTGTGGGGTTTAACGTCCCAAAACCACCATATGATTATGAGAGACGCCTATGTCCTTTACATCCATTTTTTACTCTCCTTTACATCTACGCCTCTTATAAAGGGGCCCAACTCTATTTGCTTTCTGTATGTTGATGCTGAATGAAGACAACTTGCTTTCAGTTTTCAATGGAAGAAGGTGATTTTTACTGGAAAATACTAAAAGCTGTGCGAATAGCTAAATAATGGGTGCGGGGCGAATTTGAGATCGATGTGTGAGTACCAATCGAATTGCATGTTTTTAGAATATTCTTTAAATATTTCTAGAATATTTTTCAAACACTTTGAAGTGAAATTGCAGAGAAAAAGAGAGTTGGAAAGGATTTCTAAGTGTATTCTTATGATCAAGCAAAATGACTGTGTTTCTTTTGGCTAGGTTGATGAAGCACTGTTGGATTGGTCTTTTATAGTTCTCCTATCAAGAATGAGGCAATCAAAAGGCCAAATTGTGTTCATCTACATTATTTGGTGCAACCGGCCGGCACTTTACATGAGAAAGGCAAAGATGCCAGTTCCTCAGCATCTCCTCCTCTTTCAATTTCTGTGGAAACACCACTGATGTGGTGGACAATGATGTGCTCCCTTCCAGTACAAAGTTCCATATATGCCTCGCAGACGTCAATATTTACGAACATCTGTAATTTTATATGTGCTGAAAATTCTCGGCGTCCAATTTTTTTAACTTTCTGCCAGATTTCACGTTCAGAACAACATTAATTGTGGCCAAACCCCCCTCCCTCTGCCACATCTATTATTGCCGCATTCGAACCAGCGTTTTTTTTTTTTAAATAATACATTTGCTACAGTAGCGGAGCCTGAAAGGCAGCTTTGTTGAAATACGAAAGTGTGATAGGTTGAAACATATCATAAATTTGAACGAGCCAATGGCAATTGGACATTGACTGTGTTTGGCTCCTGGGATTTCAAATAGTTCAAATAATAAAATTACAGTGAGAATCAAATCAAGTAGCGAACACTTTTAGAAAAATAATCGAAATATAGAATGTTCAATCACCCCTATAAAATACAAATGACAACTGTGATTTTCCACTGTTCTCTTCGTCGAGTTCCTTTTGTTCTCGACCTCATGTGAGGTGATATGCTGACTGTACCACTAGGTCTGTTCATATGAGGGGCTATCAATCAATGGCTCGTTTCTTTGTTAGACACTATCTAATAAAATCAAAATACGGTCAAGATAAGCAAGGTATAGGGGACATTATTTGTAGCTTTTAACTGTAGTGTGTCAATAATGACATAATTAGAAAGGATTTAAATTGGATGCAAAATCTACTTGCTGCGGGTAGAAACAGAACTTACCCCCTCCGAAGGTTGTGAGATTAAATCCTGGCTGCAGCGGCTGCATTTTTGATGGAGGCGAAAATACTTGAGGCTCGCATACTTAAATATAGGTGCACGTTGAAGAACCCCAGGTGGTCAAAATTTCTGGAGCCCTCGGCTGCAGCGTTTGTCATAATCAATGGTGGTTTAGGGTCGTTAAACTCCAGATAGTATTATCAAACTTACTACTTGCAGATGACCCATCCAATATTCTACCGATTCAGTTACAGCAGTAGTTGCTCTCCAGTCTACATTATTGGCTATTCCATATTTATGTAATCCTGGGAATGTTAGCCAGTGCCCATCGCAGCCTTGACGGTGCATGCGGAACACTCCCTTTTTTGTCTGTTCAGGTCTGTTGAGTCTAGCTTACAAATGTATATGTGCTCCACGTTCTCAGCAGCTACAAGGCAAATTCACGACAGCAAACTTCACGGAGGCGACGGTGGTACAGACGGGCAGTCCGGTGTTTGGGGAGCGGCAGCGCAAGCGGGGTCGCCCGCTGGGCAGCACCAAGGAGGCCAAAGCCCAGCAGGCCGCACAGCAAGCCGCAGCCGCAGCACAAGCGGCACAACAGATTGCAGCTGCCCAGCAAGCAGCAGCTGCTCAACAGCAGCAGTCACAGCCAGCTCAACAGCAGCAGCAGTCGCCACAGCAACAGCTACCTGTGCCTCTGCTGCAGGCCAAGACAGAACCGCTCTCTCCCCCGGTGAGGTTTTGGTTTTTACAGTTCCTTTTGCATTGTTTCTTTGCCTCTATTACACTGTCGTTATCTCTTTGTAACATGCATTATGAATGAGTGTCTATAAATGTGCAAAATTTACATAATTTCACGCTAAGTTTCTGGAGACCAATTTTAAAGCAAATGAATCCGTTAGGATAAATTATGGTGTACTTTATAAAAGTTAATAGTAGTTATAACTGTAGTGATTATCTAACTGTTGTACACTCATCAGGCACATTTCTTTGTTATCTAAATTTAACAACCCACTTAAATTGCATGCAATTGTTATCTGGTAGCCCTGAGTATCACTAAAAAAAATAAAAGAAGTATTCTTACATTTTTGCCGAAATGCCCCATGCTCATTGTCTTGCTAAACACAGTATTACCTTCACTATTGTGTGTAGCAAAGTACATTCAAACCTTGTTATAACTAAACTGGATATAGCGAAATATTTGTTATAATGAAATAAATAAAAAATAGTGTTAAATATAAACCTTTATAACGAATTGTTGGATATAACGAACTTATCATTATGTAAGATTCAAGTTTGTTATAATGAGGTCTGAGTGTATTTCAACTGGAATATACACACAAGGCAACAAGTATTGCTTAATTTACCATTAGCTCAGTGTTTGTGATCACATTCTTGGCAATAGTGCACAGAAATGGCAAAAGTTAAATTGCATCTGAACACAAGGATGGCATGTTGCAAAGGGATATACGAAATTGTGCATTGCACTGCCATGACATGTGAAACTGGGTACTGTTTTACATTTGTTTTTATGGCACTGGACTTGAGGGATGCAGGGGCACCCATTAGTTTGAGGGATAGGGGGAGAGGCCTTAAATTTTTCATTGCTCAACATGACTCCCAACATTTATGAGCAGTTCAAGGAAGGCAGTACACTCAAACCTCAATATAACAAACCTGGACATAACGAAATGTTGGTTGTAACGAAGTAAATGAAACATAGTCTTGCAGTTGATATAGGTTAAAGAATAACGTTTATAATAAATTTTCAGGTATAACGAACCTAATTTTGTGTAAGGTGCAACTTTGTTATGACGAGGTTTGAGTGTACGTGCTGCTGACACATGGGGCACCTAGATGCCCTCACAGAAATGAAAAGAGGGCAGTCTCTGTGCTCTTCAATTTTTCCACTGTGAGCACAAGGAAAGCTAAAGACCTCTCACTGTACTGAATTGCAGAATTTATGTCCCATAAATCATGGGACACAAGAGAAGAGTGCGAGTTTCCATGATTTCAAAGCCATGTTCTTATGAGGTTGGGCCGTTATGTTACAGCCATCATCACTGTCCAGCACCAACCCAACTCCCAGCTTCAGTAGTATCTACGAAAACCTAGTGGGCAGCAGTCGCCATGGCGAGAAGAGGCCAAAGGCCAAGCGGCCCTCTCCATCCCAGGGTGGCAGCAGCAGGTGCGCTTGCATGTTTGATTGCCTGCATTTGTGTTGGCTTGCTACAGACCTCCTCGACTTCGTGACATCGTGAAACTTTTCTGGCCGCACCTAATTGGGGCAATCAATCAACGGTGGGTGACATACACCTTTCCGTGAACTTTTCATCATTTTCTTGTATAACTGCTGGAGATGAACCCGTTTGTCGCAGTGTACCTTATATGTAACGAAATGGCAGGGTGTACATATTACGAAGACCGTGTTAGCTGCCTGCCACCAGGTAAGTAACGTTTAGTGCAACAACATAATACTCGTATATTTTACAAGCTTTATGACAGGAAGGCCTTGTGCACTCCTGCTCAGTTGTGTAAATACATGCACACACACTAATGTGTTTTTAATTACTGAGAGTATGAGCCATACAAGTAATTACTATATAACAACATAGCATTGTATTCAATGAAAAGTTTGTCAGGTAATATTTTTCACACAACTAGTGTTGTCATCAGGTGAACGATGTCAGGTGGAACAAGACGATACCCAAGAGTTATTGGCCAAGTTAATGTCAGATTATTGCACTTGATTCTTTGCTGCTGTGTTGTGTGAGAGCAGAATTGCATCACTCCTTTTTGTGGAAGAGGAGGAGGTCTGTAGAGTTTTTATCAGAAATGTGTAGCCACTGTTACCCGGAACATATTGAGCTGTGGCCATTTTGTTATTTCTATGTGCATAGCAGTTCGGTGAGAGTTTATTACTCGCACACTTCTACTGCACGAGGTGCATCCCTATCACCACGAATTGACTAACACCTTTCTGCAAACTGAGGCTATAAACACTGCATGTTTGCTGTTCCTTCACAACATCCATAATTAACAGCACATAGCATACTGTGGTGTAGTGAGACAATTTGTGCAATGGCAGTCTGACTGTAGCCTTTCATCACATTTGCTACAGTGAACCATGTGTAACTGTTGTGCAGTCATCACTGTGTACTTTCAGAAGACGAAGTTGCTTGCATATTCGCCTATTGCAGTGGAACGGCGATACCAGTTGCGGCAGCCTAATGGCTGAGACATTGTTTCACTAAATGTGAAGGTGCCATTTCGATTCCCGGTCACCTTGGCTACATTTCCATGAGGGCGAAATGCGAGCAATCCGTATACATAAATTTAGGCCCACATTGAAGAAAACAGGGCAGTCAGAAGTAATCTTGAGTTGCCCGCCGCAGGTCGTCTCGTGATCGTAATGTGGATTTGGTGCATGATACTCCATTCTTAATGATATCTCAATAGCTGTAATTTTTTAAAACCGAGCACAAGATTGCCGGTGTTATTCTTGAAGGTGTCAGCCACACTTCTAAAGAAGTAGGGTGAAATGAAACCATGCAGTACATAGATCTTATCTCATTTTGTTGTTTATTTGGTCAAAATTAATTTTTTTCGCTGTCAATTATCTTCTAGGCTACATAAATCTTTCAGGTATAGAACATTAGCTTATCGATTTGTACTTGCATTCTAAAGCTTAAAAGTTACCTATAAAGATATATAATAGAGGACAGCTGATTAACCTTGATCATGTAGATTTCGTTGGCAGACATAGGTTTTGATAAGCTTAACTGTTTCTTGACCATCTTGCACGAAACTGCTCTTGTTGTATTTACACGATTGAAAGTCGATTTGAATGTATGTCGACCCACCTGAAATCGCATCTCTCCCAAAAGGAGAGGAAAAAAAAAAAAAAAAAGAATGCGAGCGCAGTTCACACAAAGGAAATTTATTCACGAAGACAACTTGTCGTTGCTGGAGTCATCCTCACTGGCGTTGCTGCCGTTTAACAGATCAAGTGTGAGTTTACCGTTGACAGGCACTCATCACAGGCGCGAGAATTAAGCAAAACACTGCAGCACAAGTGACAGAAACGCGTGGCGACGTGGCTCCTTAAAAAAAGTTATCACAAACAGAAGCTGTTCCCTGGCTCTTCCGTCGACTACCAATGCCCCCATTTGGCAAGCCACAATCATGTCATGCTGTGACGTTTAGTACACTTCCGGACGCGACAGTAAGAGCGTTATCGCTCCAAGTACAGTGGCCAACTTCTTTCAAAGTCAGCATCACCATTTTTGACGTCAAAATGTATGCAACACAGTAAATTAATATGTTAAGCTTCTACCGTAACCCTGCAAATGTTGGTGCAAAGTTGTAATTGGGGCATAGTGCTCCTGATTTCTTGTTTTTTTTTTTCCGTTACTAGCAGTACACGTTTCGGTTTCAATTGTCGACCCCCCAACAATAAATTTTTAAATTTGAAAAAAAAAAAAGGGGGGAAGGTCGACCTACCATCGTGTAAATACGATATTATTTCTCATTTTTCAGAGTTAGATGTAGTTTCCTGAACCCCACTGCGCTAGAAATTTCTTTCACATTCAATATAATAAAATATTGTTTTACACTGTGAAAATATCGCTAATAATGTTGAAATTTTAAAAGTCTTTGAAGAACCAAATCCTCCTCCATTCCTCCCTGCGTAACTTATTCCTAATGCCAAGAGGGTGAACAACTTTTCTTTTGTACCTAGGCATTGTAGCTGCCATGGCTAAAAACAAAACACTAAGCCTTGGGCTATAGAGCAGATAATGATTTAAAATACCACAGTTCCATGCAAATGTGACATGCAGAGTTCGTTGGTACGGTTATTTTATTTGAGGCCATTTACCAGCTTTTATCAATCAACATATTTGTGAGCAAACAGATGCTGGTCATTCCCCTTTGGGAATTTTCGTGGAACCGCCACGGCGGTTATGCTGCTCGACTGCTGGCCCGAATGTTGCAAGACCTATGCCGGCCGTCGTGGTCTCAATGTGACGGATGCGAAAAGGCCTGAGGCTCCGGGGAAATTTAGTTGCACGTCAAAGAACCCCGGGTGGCCGAAATCTCCGGAAATCGCTCTATGTCATCCCACATAATCCTGTTATTGTTCTGCCACTTTAAATGCCAGCAATTATTATTGCTGATTTCATGGAAAAAAACGAAGTTCCGTCTGGGTTTTTAATTGGCATTAACTGTCTGTGCAGTACACAGTGCACCACCCCATTGACACATTAGTGGCATTATTCTCAAGCCACTGAGCTAAGCAGAAGCCGGTAGTCTCACTACATCACTTGAAGTCGTTGCATTGCATGAAGAGGGCTCCCTTTTCTTAGGAAAGCTAGATGGGAATTGCTGTTGTGGTTCCAGTGCACGGTTAGTACATTTTCAAGGGAACAACAAAACATGCCACAGTTTTTTTCTTCATGGAAATGCATGCTTTCAGGTTGCTGAGGTATCACTGACCATGCTTTTGTTTTGTTTTTTACCTCTGCACTCGCCTTTCAGCAGTACGATTTCTGGACCCTTTTCTATTTTGCTTACACAGCATTGGCTGAGTGTTTTATTTTCACATTGTTTGCTCACATCACACCTAATGCCTCAGTCAGATGGGTAGACGTAGTGTCACTTAATAGCGGATGCACTTTGTTGCTGGTGAAGCTGCTCTGTTGATTGGTGAATCTGTTTTGGGTTGAGCTAGTACTGTAGGCAAGCTGATGGCACTGGGAATTGGTTATTAAGCGGGCACTTCTGATATCAGGACGTCTCTGTTGCATCTCATTTTGGTGATTACGCACATGCTTTTGCATGTTGTATTGAGTGAATTAAGTGTGATAAATGCATTTTCTAGTGACTGTCTTGTGCAAATGTAAGGACCAATTGTGAAATTCAAACAGAAACAGCTCTGGGGACTCCGTCATGGCCTTATCTGAAAAGGTGATGAGGGAAAACCAAGATGAAAGGCTGTATAGCAGTGGCTTTCGACAGGGACTTGTTCTGGAATAGAACGCAAAATGTATGAAGAATTACGTGTATGTGCAACATGTCCTTGTTGCTCACGTAGATGTTCTTTTTCTCAAATGTACCGTATTTACTTGCGTAATGAACCTACTTTTTTTTTTTTTTTTCAGAAAGTTGATGTTGATTTGAGGAAAAGGTTCATTACGGGGGAAAAAAAAAGTCATCGCAGTTATAGCGGCAAAAGTTTTGTATTATAGTATTAAGAAACTCGCTGTACAACCGATAGTGGCCGTTAATTTAGTGGCAGGAATATGGAACTTCACGATTCATGAACTTGGCTCTCCACAAGAAAAGACTGTTTTTGTTTTCGCGCGAAATATCGGGACAAGCCCTTTTTGTAGCCCAAAGCTGTTTATTCCTGTAGCAACCACGCACGGATTGATGCCGAAGTGTCGTCCAGCCGCTCGGTTGCCATGCTCTGGCCCATACTTGACAGAGTTTAAGTTCAAAACTGGCCGATCGTGCCCTGCGCAGCAGATGTCTAGCGAAGTTAACTACGACAAATGCGACATCAAAAACGCATGCACGCTGCGGCCTTGCGGGCGAGTCGCGCTATTGCACCAGGTTGCACTTTGTTTTTCGCTTTGTTTTCACGCCGCTGTGCTTGCGTGGCGCTATAAGCAAAAAGGTTCTTTCTGCACTCAACAAATAGCGCTCTGCCACAAATGGCGCGACTTGTAAATTTTGATCAACGTCGTGCACTCTCGCGCTGCTCGCAACTGCTCTGTATGGGTCTTAAACTATGTTCTTACATTTATTGCGTTGTTATATTGTGATATAGTGACGCAATTTAACGTTTTTCGATCGTCAATGGCGCTGGCTATCTTACCAAAATAAAATTAACAGATACGTAACAAAGTAGATTTTTTTTCAGGACTAAGGTTAATACGCGAGTAAATACGGTACATCTTTTAAATCACTGCGATGTGCATGCTGTTGTTAAGTTTTGTCCAAGTTGGTTATTTTCATTTCCAAGGATTCTAGAATGATTATTAATAAACGTAATTATGCTCACACCTGCGGATCACGCTTAGTCCACACACTTAGTCCACTCAACTGACTGGAGTACAAAGCTTGGTGCTGCTTTTCAATTGCTGCCTTTTGGGTGAAAATGATTGAGTGTGAGGGAGCCATACGAAAGAGGGCTCTGGTGTGGCCTGGCAGGGCATCGCCGTCGAGCAGTGGAGAGCGTGAGACCGCCAAAAATGGCAGCGCGGGTGGCAGCAACAAGCGCAGCGCCGCCGGGTCGGCCGGCCCAAGGCTTCGCAAGAAGGTTCCTCCCATGCTGTCGCCGTCTGCCCAAACGGCGGCCGCCGGCGGAGCCATCAACGGCCTGCCCCCGTGAGTCCCAAGTCGCGAATGCAGACCAGCCGTCTTGATTCCCATCCCCACCTGTAGCGTAGCGTACTCGCGTGGCATATTCGCGGACATCTTTTCCTGGCAAAAGACTGAAAGCTACTGGTGCGAAGTTTCTGCACATGTACTCCTACGCGAAGCAGAGCACTTTGGCCCACATTTCGTTCAACTGTGTAAAGTGATTGCTGCACAAAAAAGCGTCGCATAGCATTTGATTTGTCTTTTTAGGCGACCACTTGTAGGTAAAATTCTTCGCAAGTTTTTACGCAAGTAGACTTAAGAACCAGAATGAGATAGACGCTTACTTGAAGATGCAGACGCCATCTAGCATTTAATGTGCACGTGAAAGACGCGTATTTCTTATGCATTCAAAATGTGAAATGAGAATGTTTAGGTTTAAACAAACATATAATTGTCTCACAGGTGTGTGACGTGTCCCGTCTCAAAGAGCTTCCTGTACAACATGAAGGAATTCGGTTTCATTTCTCATGTAGGAAACAGGGACGCAATTGTGGGACTACATTTATTGGTAGTAGCATTAAAGCAATTTGACTCTGTAGCCTTCCTTCATTGCCAAGAAAAGTTGTTTGCGAGTGTAGTCTCCCAGGAATTTCGTTTCCCGTATCTGTGGTTTTGTTGATGGTCCTGTTGGCTTTTATCTTTGGTAGACAGGAGCTGCACAAGCTGAGCAACTTGTTAGCCAAGTAGGCAAGTGAAACCAGCCATTAATTATCAAGGGGGTCATCCAACTACGTCGGCATTCAGGAGTTGAAGGTGTGACCTTGTGTTTCAAATTCAAATGGTACCACTGGATCATGGGGACCTTGAAAATGTAAAAAATCTCCACAGTGAACTTATATAATGAAACAGCTTGCATAAAAGCAATATTAGTGTCACTCCAGCTCTGTTGCAAGTGCTACAGTGTTTGGTATTTTCGTTTAAGTGACCAGTATTAGGAAGCGTATATCTTGAAGGTCCCAAGCACTTTTTTATGCGGGCACTTCACTGTAATGTGCTTTGTGTCTTGGATGCAAAACTTAACGCACCACAGCTAGGCTGATACATTGCAATGTCAGGGTTTTCGCAGAGATGCACTTGCGAAAAACTACAATTGATTTAATTATTAAGCAAACAAATAAATAAGTAAATAAAATTACAGGGCTGAGGGAAGTATTCAGCACACATAGGGTTCAAATATTGCAATGGCGTTACAAGACAATTTATAGGCTCTGAGTAGTTATGTGTCACAGAGTAATACGTCAGTGCACTATTTCTTTGGTTATTCTGAAGTGGTTTTTAACACATATTTGACAAGACTTCTTTTCACCTTACTCATGAAAATATTTTTGCCAAGAGTAAAGTATCAAAGAAAGTGCGAGGCTTGATGTTTAGTGTGAAATTAGGGATAGAGATGGATTCGGAAATTCACACAAAATTCTGTCTGTTCTGTTAATGTTGTTTCTAGTGTGGTTACTCCGCTGCCTCGCTAACTGTAATCAACATTGGTGGGAACCACTGGGGCAATCCTATTATGTGTCACATAGAATCACTTGCAATTTCCTGATTCCGTTTCACAATATTGTTTGCTGCCCTCAGCTGTGGGTGTGCTAGCACAAATTCTAGACTTCCGACTTGGGTCACATATACATGAAACAGGTGGAGGCACTGTCTTCTGTTAATTCAAAGTTTTCGGAGCAGATTTTCTTTTTTGATGCATAGAAAATGCATGGAAATGAGTCCATTGGAAGCATTGGGTCATATTATATCTGCAGTAAATGAAGTTGGAAGCATTTGCTTCTGAATGTACGTTAGTGGATGTTGGCTTCTTTTCTCCTGTGCAGCCCTCGAACTATATGATTATTTAGAAAAGGGGAAAAAGAAAACATTGTTGCGCTCACTGATGTCGGCAATGGCAAGGCAAGTTATTTTGTTGTTTAAAGTGATGAATCCTGCAGACAAGAAGAAAAGCTCCTTTAATGTCATTCAGCAGAATTTTATTATTTCAATTTAATGTTTTTTCTTCTTGATAGAATGTAGCATTAACCACAATTGTTGGCATTTTCTGGGATGTAAAAGAAATGGCACTTGCTACCAAGTTTTCCACTGTGTTGGCTTTGGTAGTTTGCGCGTTTAAACTGTCATCATCATTTTTCCTGCTAAACTTTGTGGTCGACCACGCACTGACCGGTAGGGTTTTAGTTTGAACACATTATACAGTGCAATCTTGTTGATACGATTCTGCATAATATATGTTTCAGTCTAATAAGTTTTTTCTTTTTATTCCCGGTCAAAGTACCTATAGGAAACAATGCATTTTCACATATTTAATACCATAAAAGTTTTGTCCAAGGCTGGATAATATGATTAAAAATGTGTCTTGGTCAACAAATCTAACAATAGTACATTTAATTTTTGGTATACTAGTTCAAACCGCATTCTGACAAGCCACAATCTGCATGTTGCAGAGCCACTGACGCTGTGGCAGGGTTGGTTCTACAGTAAAAAAATTGCTGCCTGGTACAGTAGCACTGTACTGCCAGGAGATGCACTACGCCATCTAGTGAAAAGTTAATCATACACTCAAACCTCAATATTACAAATTATCGGTTATAATGAAGCAAGTGACCAATGTTTATAAAATAACTTAATTGAGCACAAACACACCACACGCGTGAGTGTCGTCGTGTGCTTGCACTCAAAATAAGTTAACACCAAGTTCTGTTACAGTGACCAATATCTTTGTGATAAATACAGTGTTACAAATAATTGTTTATAACGTAATTTCAAATATAGCAAAGTATTTTCATGGCAGATGTGAGTTTGTTATAATGAGGCTTGAGTGTATTTTATATGAAGGAATGTTTTTCATAGAAAAAACATCTCATTCATATTTCATATGAATGAAACGTTTCATAACCAAAAGTATCAATGAATACAGAAATTCTGACTTCCCTCCTTTTTTCTTTTAATCTTAATGGGCTAATACGACTACTGCATAATGCATTTTCGTTTTCTGTGAGAAACATATTGTTACGGTGAGATGCCTTTATTTACAGAGATGATGAATGCGAGAGTCCAGGGATCTGATAGATCACCGCTCCTGCTAACCTCGTTCTCCTCTTCTTCCACGCGTCCCCTCAATATTGCCACAAGGCAGTAATGGATTGGGGCATAAAGCGGTAAAGGGTCTCTGCCTGGAAGGCAAAAGACTATGAAGTGGATAGAGACTGGTCTCAGCCCGCCAGTGTGCCAGGCATTGTCGTCGCTTGTAAATGTCGTAAACATCTGCAAATATACGTTTCCTTTTAAGATTATTGGTGGAGGTGCTGGGTAGCGCCTATCTGGCTTTCCCGGCAAACCAACGTGGAACTTCGGAGTGGTCGCCATCCTTCATTTTCCTGCAATGGCTCAACAGGCCCACCCACAAGAGCAACAGCAGCCGCAGCAGCAGCAGCTGCCTCCTCTGATTCTCCTGCCTCCACGAGACCCCGGAACCTTCTCGGGCACAGGCAAGGACAAGGTGAATGTTGAAGATTGGGTCGCATTGTACGAGCGCGTGAGCGAATACTATAGGTAGGACCCCACGTTGATGCTGGCCAACGTTGTATTTTACTTGCGGGATACGGCGCTCATCTGGTATGAGACGCATGAGTCGGAGTTGACCAGCTGGGACATTTGCAAACTGAAGCTTGTTGAATTGTTCAGCAGGCCATTTGGGCGACAGCAGGCCACGAGGAAATACCTGGAATGTCGCGTGCAGACATCGACGGAATCGTTTGTTTCTTACATACAGGACGTATTGGGCCTCTGTCGAAAGGTGGACGAGAACATGAGCGAAACTGACAAAATCGCTCACATATTAAAGAGAATTGCCAATGACGCCTTCAATCTGTTGATCGTTAAAGATTGCGCCACCGTCGACGTGGTTGTGAAGGAATGTCAGCGCTTCGAGCACGCCAAGAACCGTTGCATAACCTGCCAGTTTGTGCGTTTGCCTAATACTGCAGCCACTTCGACCTGCGAAGACAGCCCCAAGTTCACGCAAGCTACATCGTCCGAAAATATCACCCGAATCGTTCGCCGCGAACTCGAAGCAATGGCTCTTGCAGCCATCGCTTCCGACGGTCCTCAAAACAACGCATCCACAGTCTCCCTCATCCAAGCCGTCGTTCGCCAAGAAATAGCAAATCTCGGCATCGCACCTGTTTGCGCTGTTCGCACTACCGAGAGCTCGGCTTCTGTTAACTAGATTCCGGTGTACCCTTCACGCTACCGGAACCCTGCTGAATGGAGAACGTCGAATGATAGACCGATCTGCTTTCACTGCTCTCGCGCTGGCCACATTGCGCGCTACTGTCGCAATCGTTTGACATCCAATTCATCTTGGAACGCTGGGACATGGCTTCGCTTTGAAGGCAACTCTCGCCAGTTTTCTACTCCGTACGATCTACAGCCTGCTCCTACTAACGTTCAGGGCCGAAGGTTCAGCCGGTCACCATCACCCCAAGGCCGCCGATCTCTCTCGCCGATGATTTCTCGATCCAGGTCCCCTGTACGACCATGGCCCTCAACCTCGGGAAACTAGACCATGCAGCTCCCGGAGGTGACGTTGCATTAATGACCCGTTCCGCAAATCCTCTGTTGACAATTCCTACACGCCACAATATTTTGGACCTATTGGTGGATGACGTAACCGTTACAGCCCTCATAGACGCTGGCGCACAAGTTTCAGTCATGAGCGCTGCTCTCTGTACTAAACTGCGAAGAGTGATCACGCCTCCTATTAAGTGTGCAGTAATGCTTGCCGATGGGAACACATCTACCGTTCTCGGCATGTGCACCTCTCGCGTGTGTACTGTATTGCTGGCCGCCAGACCGTGGTATTGTTCACCGTGCTTGAGCAGTGCCCACAAGACGTGATTCTCGGTCTAGACTTTCTCTCTGCGTACTCCGCCCTTATCGACTGCTCTTCAGTTGGAGCTTCC